CCCAAGGTTTTCCACAAATACCGGACCAGCGCCGTCCGTCCAGGCACCTCCCGCGACCTACATCAGGTCGTCGGTCCACCTAGTGGAAGGCCTGCCCACACTGGTGGTCGCCACTCGAGAACTTTTCTGCCCTAGCGGCCATCATGACCATGTAGTTGTAAATGCTATTTTGGTAGAAATATACAATCCGAGGTGCTGTCAACATACAGCATATTAAGCTAAACACTGAGGTCTCTTATCTCGTTGAGATAGGTGCTGTTTGGCAAAAAACTTATATTCCGATGTACTCGTAGAATAAGGTCGTAGATTTCTATGCTATGTAGATGTTCCGTTTAGCGAATGATGAATGAAATGAGTCGGATATTTTGAACACAAAGGAAACATTTCGTGTTCCCGCTATTTGTCATCTAAACTTCCGAGGATTCATGTTCTGGTCAACTCAAGATTACTCAAGATGTTTCCGTGGGCTATTTTGGTAAGTCCATGAGTAATGTCGTCAAAAATTTCTTACATATCATTTTACTACGAAGAATGAGAGAGGGTTGCGTCTCTTCATACCTTCATAGCTCTAGAGAGAGAGCACAGAAATATTTATATGGAATAAAAACATCGATGTTCAACGTAACAGAAAACGATTCTAAAATCCAAATAACTCGACGATTGTTGGATCATTACTGTAAATTGTAATTTATTGTGTAGGCGTTTGCCAAAAACGAGAGAATAACGGGTTCCGAATGGTATATTATCTCAAAACCCATCAGATTTGTAATTGTGTATTGCAGCCAATAATATTTACAGACAAAGTGCCTAATAAATGATAACCCCTCACCTATGAAGTCGATAACTAATGGGATATATTTAAGCTGACATTAACTTATTAAGTAAAGAAACAAGGATCAAAGGCCTGCTTAACACTGCGGACAGAACAAGTTTCTCAATCAAAAAAATTAGCCTCATTAGAATGGCTTATTCCCACAATCTGAGATTTCTTCGATTGTCTTTGCATCCTGAAAGCAAGACATTTGAAAAAATCAAACCGTATCGTCTCTTACAAATAAATCTAACAGCTAGAGACCTTTTTGAAATGGACACAGGTATCCTAAGTGGGACATATTCAGCCAAATGATATCGGTAAAATCAACTCTATCGCCTCTGACATTGACCTTTTGCGCAGACGTTACACTTTATCGTGCCCGCCAAAAGTTCCAAGAACAATCAAGTCTACGTGCCGACAGACGAGAGCAAGAGATTAAAAAGGTCCAAGGGGTAGTTCCCTGGTCGGTCCCTAAGACGTCAGCCGAGGCTATAGGAAGTCACCGCCGGCCATGCACTTATCCAATTTGCCGCTATTATGATTTATTGGTGCGTCCATCCAAGTAGGCGCCTCTGGCCTAGACCGCTCGATTAGAACTCGTGTTCGCTGCGAGCGTGCGATTCTCTTGGGAGTTTTATGTTGAAACTTCTCTTCAACTTTCGTTCGTTCGTTTCAGCCAAATGACGTCCACTGCTGACAAAGTCCTCCCTCAAGGATTTCGACAGCGACAGGACCTGTGCTGCCCGTACCAAAGTACTTCCCGCGATCTACACCAGATCATCGATACATCTAGTGGGAGGGAGGCCTGCCCTTACTACGTCTTCAACTTACTTTTGGAATACTCGTATTACAATCGTTTTAAAGTTAGCCTCAACACGTGGCGTGGACCAACGGCAAGAAACTCTATCGACTCGAAGCTTCTGATTTCGATTGTCAGATCAGACAAACATAATCCACACAATAGAAGAAGAAGAAGGCTGTCGGTATTGGACTCTCTGATGGCGTCTTTTTTCTCGAAGCTTTCTGAGGATAGTTTTCTGAGAGCACATAAGTATACATAATTACATAGGTACCTACTTGTGGTTGGTATTTTTCGCCTGAAAAGTAGGTATTTCAGGCTCTTTGGACTTGGTCTTCAGCTTCACTTCTAAATTCGTTTCTTTAATGGTTGTCTGGGATAGTTCTACAGTATTTTGACTTATCTCAACTATTTGATACTGGAATTCGAGTCGGCACCGCTTTTAGTGGAGCCCCTGCCCTTACGATGGACATTGCATTATCGAGGCGGGAAAGAATGCCGACAGTCCTTGGAGGTCGAGATGGTGTCGCGAGGGGGACGATGGACGAACCACTACTAACTGACACTAACCTTTAAAACTTTTTCAAATAACATTGAGAGAATGAGTTTAACTTAAATAATAAAATCAATTTCACAAAAATGAAAACTTCTTCTCTCTAAATATTAAGTGCCCCATTAGGGTTAGGGTCATTCCATGACAAATGTTACCGAGGGTGAAAAACTAAATATGTTCTTTTCGCATTAAATCTGATGAATTTTGAAAGTAAACATTCCAAATTATAATGTGCAACAAAAAAATCTGCAAGAAACAAGTAATTTTTAAGTTATTAGTCTTCAAAGTCTATTCTTAAGTCAACTGTCTGAATGAACATTTTCTCTCTAATTATTGGTAATATGATTAAAAAAAAACTATCAATCTGTGAAACGTTTTGCCACTATATGATTTGAGGGCATTTATCATAGTATTGGTAGATAGCGCCATAGTCCCAAAAAAATTGATAATCATCAAGTTGTAAGTGTGTTTCCTTGTTACTTCGGCGATGTAACACCCGAAACAAAAAAACAGGTATTTGTTTTATTATTGTACCTTACACATGGATTAGGATAACAATATTTGGTAAAAGTAAGGTCATGGTAGTAATGATTTCAAATACTAACTAATATCTGAGCATGATACAAATTTAGTATGTTTCTTTCTTGATTAAAAACTGTAACACCCGAAACGTTTCGGGTATTACATTTTTATTTATATGTCTATAATGTGTGTATATTGCTTGGAGAAGTCAAAAAGTATTACTGTGAGGGTCCTTCGACCTCCCACTAGCGCTGGCGTCGGAAAAGGAGTCATATTTCTCTATTTAAGACATTTTTGAAATGTCGACTTAACACTAAAATTAAGGTATTGCTAAAAAGTCTCGATGTTTGACATTTCCATTAAATATCGTTATTATAAATTAAAGTAATGCTATTTCAAGCCAAAAACAATAGAAAAAGCTATATTCTGAGGAAAAATTTAACTTGAACTTTGTATATTTTTTAAGAAAAGCTGCTTCGTAATTTCAAACCAGAATTCGCTCTATTTGTGTTAATTTGTTGTACTCCTTATTTTGTAGTACCTAGAGACTAATAAAACACCGATTTTATCTATGAAACGCGTTGCATTTTCGTACTCGTAACACCCGAAACAGAACCACTGTAACACCCGAAACAAAGAAAAAAATTACAAAAAAATAGTAAAACGTTTTATGTAACAGTGATTGTATGTTACATGGTTTGCAAATTTCATACTTTAGAAGTCCTGTAAGTTTGAGGTATGATTCTTTAAGAAAATTCGCTAAATTTCGAGTAAATGCAGCAACAGTCAGAACATAGAGGCAAAATCTCGTAACGCCCGAAACGCACACTTTTCGACTCATATTTTCGTTATCCTACATTCTAAGCTGCACAAACTTTATTATTTAGATAAAACAACTAAAAACGGACAGATTAAGGCACTAATATTATTAAAATACTATTTCAAAATACAAGAAATTGTTGAATATGTGTGTACGAACGTAACACCCGAAACGATGGAATGACCCCTTACCTTTTCTTTTTTACTACATTTTGACGTTCATAAGTGCCACTTGTGGTTTAAACTGAATAAATATTTTTGATTTTGATTTTGATATTTCTACTAGTCCAAAAACATTTTTAAATACCTTTAGACTCACATTCACAGAATGACTTAGATCAAGTCTATAGTAAGTAAAAGGCCAATATTCTCACACTTAGCTACCTCATTATTGTATTGTTTAAAATCAATATTTAATTAATCATATGCACAAGGAACAAATAAATTAGTCATGAAATAGTCTAGTATATCTGACAAATAAATTTTTACTAGGTACAGTCAGCATCAAATAGTTTATCACACCCAAAGTTAGTCAAAAAGTTACAGCACGTCTTAGGTTGTAGTATTATTGTCAAATTTTTGGCCACTTTGGGTGTCAAGAACTATTTAACGCTATTGTACCTAGTTCCAACTTATTTCCAACACATGCCATTTGAAATCCAACATTAAACAATCCAAGGCTAATTGTTGTTTGAACAAACAGAAGCACCTATTGTAGCATTATCTAGATCAACATGTGGACATTATGCAGAAAGCTTTGTGTACTTTCAGTTGTTTTATAGGCAATGAGATCATCGGAGTACCTGTTCCATTGCAGTGAACGGATGTTGGTATGTGCTGTATGATAACAATGGGTTTAGGGTATAACTTGAAAATAATGGAGCTACATTTTTAATTTATATGTTTTCACAGAGGGAAAACCAATGAATGAAGTACCTATTATAGTCTGTATAATAACTTAGTTTGAAAATAGTACTGTATTATTTTCACAGAGAAACTGAAAATAATACATTTTCTGGTAACTAGTAGCTAGCTAGATGTCTCCTACAATTCTACATAATATGGCCTCAGTGGAGATCCTTGAGGGAGAGATAATGAATAAACATTGTAACTGTGGAAAATTTGCTGATTTCTGTCCTATTTTTGTTTTGTGTGATTATTTGTCTGTGTATCAAAATTGTTTGTTTCCCAAATATAATAAATAAAGAAATAAATTCAAATTCAATTCAAATTCAAATTATTTATTTGCATAAACATCAAGTGCATTTAGTTTCAAAGTTTTTTTTATTTTATGTTATTCGTTAAATTAATTTTTAGTTTTGTAAGGCTGTTGTAAGGTAATAATTCAGTTTTTTTAGGCCACATTTTCCCCTAAATCCTAATGACACATTTTTCATTAAATTATCATTAAGAAGCCAAGCTTTCTTATTTCTTTATTCATAACATACAAATACCATCTACAGCCTAAAATAATTATTTGTTTGTATCCTCACCTGAAACCTTGTAGTTGACGGCTGATCCTTGAACCGGGAGGGCTTCTCCATGTCCCTGAAGCTGCTCTTCGTCATCGGCGATTTAGTAGGCTGCACCACCACCCCGCCATTCGACACAGGGTCGACCAACAGCCGGTCTTTCTCACCCGCCTCCCTACTCTTGAAATGCAACCCCGATTCCACATCCTCACTCTTCGGAATCACCTCAGAAGGATACTGGATGTTACCATTAGTCGCTGCCATAGACTTAGCAGAACTAATCTTCCTAAATCTACCGATAATAACATCTTCTTCGTCGTTGACGGGCACATGAAGTGTTTCCGCGGGCTCGGCCGGCTTAGAAGCACCCGTTTCCGTCTTCACTGGACTCAACTCAATGTCTTTCTGAGGGGAAGTCATTGTGTGATTTGTATAAGACAGTTACAGTCTATTTTAATCAAATAATACAGTCATTTCAGTTCAACTAAGCGATATAAATTCGAAACGCTAGCATTAAATTCTTCACTTGTTGACACGAATACCGACCATGCGGTATTGAGAATAGAAATTAAATCGTCAAAAATTCAAAAGAAGGGACTGAATTATTATCGTCATATTTAGTTAACACAAAATTTAACGAAATTAAGTTAGAACATTTCAAAGTCACGCGTAAAACACGCGCGCGATTTTAACAAATTGTGGACGCGACCATTTCTGATGACTTTCAATTTGACAACTGATGAACTGACTGACTGACCGAACCGAATGAATGAAGAACTGGAAAAATCGATTAAAAATGCTTGCTTTGTGGCGATGCACTAGTGAAGCTCCATAGAGCGAGAAGATCCGATTATTCAATTGAAAATAAACATTTAATAGACTAGTTTTCGCGTATGAAAGATCCGCTAGATGGCGGGACGTGGATGTGGGGTCTGACTGCTGCGTGATTGGTGGATTTTGACATATCTGTCAATGTCATGTCAAAAATAACCAATCATGCAGCATTTGGACCTCACTTTTAAGTATCGCCATCTGGCGGATTTTTCATACGTGAAAACCCTCATTATTAACAGACAATACGACAGGGCCCATATTTTTGGCGTAAGGGTTGCAAGTGCAGTTGCACTTTTTGATTGAATCGAAAGGCCTTTCGACCACTTTTCGACTGCCCCGATTGCGCTAATTTTTAACGTCTCCAATACATTAGCGCTTCTTCACCAGTTGCGCTCCGTTTTTCAATCCAGTTGCGCGTGAACTTTACCGCATAAAGTTCACGCGCAAACAAAGACGAAACAACGGATTTAATCACTTTCCAATAAAAGTCCAAACACCTTACTTTTTCACTAAAAACAGCAAATTAAATGTTCGTGAAGGCGTCTGACTCGAGTTTGAGAAAAAGTAGCTTTCTTTCAGCTTTTACACAAAGAAGCAGTTGGGTTTTGATTTCGTTTGAACTAGCTGTCACGCGATACGAATTTGTGATTTTCGTTCAAATTCAAATTCTTTATTTGCTTATAAATAGGGTAAATACATAAGTGGTGGATGGTTAGTCGTCTAGTCGCGTTGTAGTTGAAAATATTTAGCGCAATCGGTTGTTGACAAATAAAAGGCGTGCAATACTGTTCGACGTTTATTGCCAGACTGGTTTATAGAATACCCGCGTTACAATATATACCAACACCTTCACCCTTAATTAACATTAATTTAAACTTATGACTAATTATCTAAATAGACAATATGTAGATTGTCTTAAGTATCACTATAGTGATAAAGTTACCTTACATTAATACTTATTCTAATAGTAATAGACTCCAACATAAAATCATATTCAGAGTATTTAAGTACACTTATAATATTTAACAATATTCGTCCCAACCGTATCGTACAGGGCGTTTAATTAAACGTTTATTGGGTCTTACATTCTCTAGGGGCGAAACACTACTTTCCACTATTGGTACACTGGGTTCGCTTATTTGTTCCGGTGACTTTGTTACGTCAGGTGACGCCGGCGCCATCTCCTCCGAGGAAGAAGAGGAGCGCTCCTCTGGTACACTCCCCTCCCTCTCAGTCACGGGGACCACCAGGGAACTCGCTCTGCGCGTTGGCGGTATACATCTACTGTCAGGTGCCTCGGATACCCTACGCCTTAATTGGTCGACGTGCCTATGTACCTCGGTTCCATTAACACACTTTACCCTATAATCTGTATTGCCTAAAATTTTTGATACCTCACCGGGGATCCATTTGTCCCGGGAACGAAAATCACGACACCAAACATCATCGCCTTGACGGAGCTGACGTTGTCGTATCAGTGTACAATCGCCGTTTTCCCTTACCTGCTTGTCACCGACACGTCCCGAGCGGTCAGGTTTTAGTCTATCTAAACGCATACGTAGATTCCTACCTAAGAGAATTTTGGCAGGACTGTCGCCCGTTGTATAATGTTCAGTGTTTCTGTAAGCAAGTAAAAACCTATTTAGGGCCGTATCTATATCTACCTTCTGTTTAATAGCCTTTTTTATAACTCGTTTACATATTTTAACCGAATTTTCAGCTGCTCCATTGGAAGCGGGATGATACGGTGCTGAAAAAATGTGGTCTATGCCATTATTCTTCAAAAAGCTGTCAAATTCAGTNCAAGTAATTTATGACGGTGACGTGGGATTAGTGGGGCACTGGAGTTGTATTTATTACATTAATGGAATACTGCGTGTGTACGATAGTCTTGTTGGTGTTCTAGGAAAATCGCAAAAAATATATGTAAAAGCCTTGTTTCCGTATCTATCGGAGTCATGTATTCAGTTTCCAAGTGTTCAGCGACAACCGAATACTATTGATTGTGGTTTGTTTGCCATTGCTTTTGCCACCTCTTTAGCTCGGAATATTTATAAATACATATATAAAATTAATATTCATACATAAAAGTACAAGGCAAAATATCGGGAGAGTTTAGGCTCCATTCACCAGGTGTATAAATTGACATAATAAGTTTATTATATTTGCTGCTACGGAACCCTTTGTGCGCGAGCCCGACTCGCACTTGTTTATAACTCGTTTACATATTTTAACCGAATTTTCCGCTGCTCCATTGGAAGCGGGATGATACGGTGCTGAAAAAATGTGGTCTATGCCATTATTCTTCAAAAAGCTGTCAAATTCAGTACTCGTAAACGGGGGTCCATTGTCGCTAACCACCTGTTTTGGTAGGCCGAACCTCGCCCACATGTCGCGTAAAACTGAGATGACTGCTCCGGCGGTAGTACTTTTCATTTTTATAGCCTCGATCCACTTTGAGCATGCATCTACTACTATTAGGTAAGTCGTGCCAAACATGGGCCCTAAGAAATCCAGATGCAGCCTAGACCATGGGCGGTCAGGCCATGGCCAGGGACTCGGCGCGTGCGCCGGCGGTGCGTCCGCCACGCTGGCGCATACGGCGCATCGCCGGCACGCCGCCTCCACCGCCTCGTCCACGCCGGGCCACCACACGTAGCTGCGGGCTAATGCTTTTGTTTTAACTATGCCCATGTGTGAATCATGCAACTCATCTATTACTCTATTTCTACAGGAAGCTGGGATGACAACGCGGTGACCCCACATAATGCACCCTAGTTCGCAATACAACTCATTTTTTCTATTCAAATAAGGTTTAAGCTCTTTTAATTCTACATCAGCAGGCCAACCATCCGTGATATAACTCCTTACCCTACTTAGTATGGGATCAGATGAAGTTTCTTTCTTTAAGATTTTATAGTCCAATAAGAGCGCTTCAGTAGCAAAATGTAAATATGTTTGCTCGGGAAGTTTTTCTTCCGTGGCAACGGTGTCATCTTTGTGAGTTTTAATTAAGCGCGAGAGAGAATCGGCTGTGTTTTTGTCGGTATTAATATATTCGATTTGGAAATCATAAGCTGAAAGTTTGATAGCCCACCTTTGAAGGCGACTCGCCGCCGTGGTAGGTATTCCTACATTAGGGCCAAATATGCTCACTAGGGGTTTGTGGTCTGTGCGTAATATAAACTTTCTCCCGTACAAATATTGATGGAACTTCTCTACAGAAAATATAATCGCTAGTGCCTCTTTATGAATCTGACTGTAATTTGTTTCCGCCGAAGTGAGTGCGCGCGACGCGTACGCGACCACCCGCTCCGAGCCGTCGGGCGCGCGCTGCGCCAGCACCGCGCCCAGCCCGTGCGCGCTGGCGTCGCACGTCACTACAGTCGGCCACGCTATATTATAATGTACTAATACGCTTGTACTGCATAGTAATTTTTTAATCGTCAAAAAATAATTATTTTCCTCTTTTCCCCAGTAATAGTGTTTCCCTTTCTTTAATAAGTTATACAGTGGTGATAAATATGATGCAAGGTTTTTAACAAATTTCCCATAAAAGTTCACCATGCCTAAGAATGATTTTAATTCCGTAGTATTCCGTGGCGGAGGCATGTCAATTATTGGTTTAATTTTGTACACTGGGTTCGCTTATTTGTTTCGGTGACTTTGTTACGCCAGGTGACGCCGGCGCCATCTCCCCCGAGGAAGAAGAGGAGCGCTCCTCTGGTACACTCCCCTCCCTCACAGTTACAGGGACCACCAGGGAACTCGCTCTGCGCGTCGGCGGTATACATCTACTGTCAGGTGCCTCGGATACCCTACGCCTTAATTGGTCTACATGCCTATGTACCTCGGTTCCATTATCACACTTTAGCCTATAATCTGTATTGCCTAAAATTTTTGATACCTCACCGGGGATCCATTTGTCTCGGGAACGAAAATCACGACACCAAACATCATCACCTTGATGGAGCTGACGTTGTCGTTTCAGTGAACACTCGCCGTTTTCCCTTACCTGCTTGTCAACGACACGTCCCGAGCGGTCAGGTTTTAGTCTATCTAAACGCATACGTAGATTCCTACCTAAGAGGATTTTGGCAGGACTGTCGCCCGTTGTATAATGTTCAGTGTTTCTGTAAGCAAGTAAAAACCTATTTAGGGCCGTATCTATATCTACCTTCTGTTTAATAGCCTTTTTTATAACTCGTTTACATATTTTAACAGAATTTTCAGCTGCTCCATTGGAAGCGGGATGATACGGTGCTGAAAAAATGTGGTCTATGCCATTATTCTTCAAAAAGCTATCAAATTCAGTACTTGTAAACGGGGGTCCGTTGTCGCTAACCACCTGTTTTGGTAGGCCGAACCTCGCCCACATGTCGCGTAAAACTGAGATGACTGCTCCGGCGGTAGTACTCTTCATTTTTATAGCCTCGATCCACTTTGAGCATGCATCTACTACTATTAGGTAAGTCGTGCCCAACATGGGCCCTAAGAAATCAAGATGCAGCCTAGACCATGGGCGGTCAGGCCACGGCCAGGGACTCGGCGCGTGCGCCGGCGGCGCGTCCGCCACGCTGGCGCACACGGCGCATCGCCCGCACGCCGCCTCCACCGCCTCGTCCACGCCGGGCCACCACACGTAGCTGCGTGCTAATGATTTTGTTTTAACTATGCCCATGTGTGAATCATGCAACTCATTTATTACTCTATTTCTACAGGAAGCTGGAATGACAACTCGGTGACCCCACATAATGCACCCCAGTTCGCAATACAACTCGTTTTTTCTATTCAAATAAGGTTTAAGCTCTTTTAATTCTACATCAGCAGGCCAACCATCTGTGATATAACTCCTTACCCTACTTAGCATGGGATCAGATGAAGTTTCTTTCTTTAAGATTTTATAGTCCAATAAGAGCGCTTCAGTAGCAAAATGTAAATATGTTTGCTCGGGAAGTTTTTCTTCCGTGGCAACGTTGTCATCTTTGTGAGTTTTAATTAAGCGCGATACTAAAGATTCTTCAGAAGCTGTTTGATTCTGTCATCCTTGAGCAAAAAAACGCCTACGGCATGGCACAGTAATGTGGTGATACTCTTCTTCAAAAAAGGCGACAAAACCTTGTTGAAGAATTATAGACCCATCTCACTTCTGAGCCATGTCTACAAGCTGTTTTCGAGAGTCATCGAGAATCGTCTCATTCATGAGCTGTCAACGTCGTTATTTCGTTTTGAAGAACAGGCTAAGGTCATAGATCATACTATTCATACTGCTTCGTTTCATCTTTTTCGAGTAGAGTTTTTCAATGCATAAATTTATTCATCAAATTTTGTTATTATTAAGACATTTTTTATGATAAAGGTACAAACGCAACGATAAGAACGGATTTTTTATTTTTAAATAGCTTAATTTTAACACTATCAAGAACTATGCTACATGGTTCCTTCCAGACTAACCTGATTTCCACTAAGCAAACAATCTTTGGTTCTGTTTAGTTATAAAAATTTTGTAACAATTTTTGCTAAATGGAACCAACCAACATTGGTTCTAGTTTGCATAATTAGTTTAAATAAGTGCTTAGGGACCATGCTGTATAGTTCTTTATAGTTTTTAAAAGTTGGCCAAAGCGGGTTGGTTCCGCAAGTGACAGTGCTGTATCTCTGTTGTTAGTCGTTAAAAATGTACCATAATTTTTTTGAAGATAGAATGCGTTATTTGAGCGCCATCTATGTACTTAACTCAATTTCACTCAAAGTGTGGGTTGGTTCCTGTTTGCATAAATGGGTCCACTTAATGTCAGAACTACGGAACCCTAAAAAGAAAAAGAAAAGTAAACGTCATTCCTTTGCACTGAAGTGCTGAAGTTCCCTTACTTCCCTTAGCTGTGGACGTTCCTTTGTCACTTTGTGCCGTATGGATCTTTATCCAAAGCCGTAAAACCAACCTCTATGAAAAAAAAAATGTCACTTTGTCGTTGTCTATGCGTGCGTAGCGAAGAAAGTAAACAACACAATTCGTGCTATAAAAATGAATTCCAAAGTTTACAAGTGCTGTGCAGTACCTCAGTGTAAAAACACATCAAGAAGAACACCGGACAAAGTTTTTGTACATGTTCCAACCAAGAAAATATTAAGAGATCAGTGGTTGAAGCTCGCTCGGCTAACGGAGCCCGACGATGTCACATCAATTTATTTTTGTGAAGACCACTTTGATGTGAGTATGCTAACTGACAAATAAAAGGCGTGCATACTGTTCGACATTTATTGCCAGACTGGTTTATAGAATACCCGCGTTACAATATATACCAACACCTTCACCCTTAATTAACATTAATTTAGACTTATGACTAATTATCTAAATAGACAATATGTAGATTGTCTTAAGTATCACTATAGTGATAAAGTTACCTTACATTAATACTTATTCTAATAGTAATAGACTCCAACATAAAATCATATTCAGAGTATTTAAGTACACTTATAATATTTAACAATATTCGTCCCAACCGTATCGTACAGGGCGTTTAATTAAACGTTTATTGGGTCTTACATTCTCTAGGGGCGAAACACTACTTTCCACTATTGGTACACTGGGTTCGCTTATTTGTTCCGGTGACTTTGTTACGTCAGGTGACGCCGGCGCCATCTCCTCCGAGGAAGAAGAGGAGCGCTCCTCTGGTACACTCCCCTCCCTCTCAGTCACGGGGACCACCAGGGAACTCGCTCTGCGCGTTGGCGGTATACATCTACTGTCAGGTGCCTCGGATACCCTACGCCTTAATTGGTCGACGTGCCTATGTACCTCGGTTCCATTAACACACTTTACCCTATAATCTGTATTGCCTAAAATTTTTGATACCTCACCGGGGATCCATTTGTCCCGGGAACGAAAATCACGACACCAAACATCATCGCCTTGACGGAGCTGACGTTGTCGTATCAGTGTACAATCGCCGTTTTCCCTTACCTGCTTGTCACCGACACGTCCCGAGCGGTCAGGTTTTAGTCTATCTAAACGCATACGTAGATTCCTACCTAAGAGAATTTTGGCAGGACTGTCGCCCGTTGTATAATGTTCAGTGTTTCTGTAAGCAAGTAAAAACCTATTTAGGGCCGTATCTATATCTACCTTCTGTTTAATAGCCTTTTTTATAACTCGTTTACATATTTTAACCGAATTTTCAGCTGCTCCATTGGAAGCGGGATGATACGGTGCTGAAAAAATGTGGTCTATGCCATTATTCTTCAAAAAGCTGTCAAATTCAGTACTCGTAAACGGGGGTCCATTGTCGCTAACCACCTGTTTTGGTAGGCCGAACCTCGCCCACATGTCGCGTAAAACTGAGATGACTGCTCCGGCGGTAGTACTTTTCATTTTTATAGCCTCGATCCACTTTGAGCATGCATCTACCACTATTAGGTAAGTCGTGCCAAACATGGGCCCTAAGAAATCCAGATGCAGCCTAGACCATGGGCGGTCAGGCCATGGCCAGGGACTCGGCGAGTGCGCCGGCGGCGCGTCCGCCACGCTGGCGCATACGGCGCATCGCCGGCACGCCGCCTCCACCGCCTCGTCCACGCCGGGCCACCACACGTAGCTGCGGGCTAATGCTTTTGTTTTAACTATGCCCATGTGTGAATCATGCAACTCATCTATTACTCTATTTCTACAGGAAGCTGGGATGACAACGCGGTGACCCCACATAATGCACCCTAGTTCGCAATACAACTCATTTTTTCTATTCAAATAAGGTTTAAGCTCTTTTAATTCTACATCAGCAGGCCAACCATCCGTGATATAACTCCTTACCCTACTTAGTATGGGATCAGATGAAGTTTCTTTCTTTAAGATTTTATAGTCCAATAAGAGCGCTTCAGTAGCAAAATGTAAATATGTTTGCTCGGGAAGTTTTTCTTCCGTGGCAACGGTGTCATCTTTGTGAGTTTTAATTAAGCGCGAGAGAGAATCGGCTGTGTTTTTGTCGGTATTAATATATTCGATTTGGAAATCATAAGCTGAAAGTTTGATAGCCCACCTTTGAAGGCGACTCGCCGCCGTGGTAGGTATTCCTACATTAGGGCCAAATATGCTCACTAGGGGTTTGTGGTCTGTGCGTAATATAAACTTTCTCCCGTACAAATATTGATGGAACTTCTCTACAGAAAATATAATCGCTAGTGCCTCTTTATGAATCTGACTGTAATTTGTTTCCGCCGAAGTGAGTGCGCGCGACGCGTACGCGACCACCCGCTCCGAGCCGTCGGGCGCGCGCTGCGCCAGCACCGCGCCCAGCCCGTGCGCGCTGGCGTCGCACGTCACTACAGTCGGCCACGCTATATTATAATGTACTAATACGCTTGTACTGCATAGTAATTTTTTAATCGTCAAAAAATAATTATTTTCCTCTTTTCCCCAGTAATAGTGTTTCCCTTTCTTTAATAAGTTATACAGTGGTGATAAATATGATGCAAGGTTTTTAACAAATTTCCCATAAAAGTTCACCATGCCTAAGAATGATTTTAATTCCGTAGTATTCCGTGGCGGAGGCATGTCAATTATTGGTTTAATTTTTTCAGGATTGGTTCTTAGGCCCTTCTTATCTATAATAAATCCCAGATATTCTACATGTTCTGATAAGAAATTGCATTTACTCTTTTTAATTTTAAGCCCGTTGGTCTGTAAAATTTCTAAAACTTGCTCAATAGTTTTTAAGTGACTAATTATATTTTTGCTTTTGATTAAAATATCGTCGTAAAATATGACTACATCTGACATACCTTTAAAAAGATTTTCCATAAACTTTTGAAAAATTCCTGGGCTCGAAGAAAGACCGTACACCAAACGGTTGTATTTGAACAGTCCTCGATGGGTGTTAATAACTGTGTACTTTCTAGATGACTCATCGAGGATCAGCTGATTATAGGCTTGAGAGAGATCTAATTTAGTAAAATATTCGTTCCCACATAGGTCACTAAACAAGTCCTCAACTTTTGGAACCGGGTATCTGTCGACCATCAAGACACGATTCAAGGTTACCTTATAGTCCGCACATAGACGTATACCGCCATCCGCCTTTCTCGCGATCACCAGAGGAGTGGCCCAGTCGGAGCGCTCCACGGGCTCGATGACGCCGGCGCGCAGCATGGCGTCGAGCTCGGCGTCGACGCGCGGGCGCAGCGCGTACGGCACGGGCCGCGCGCGGCAGAACACGGGCTCCGCGCCCTCGCGCACGTGCAGCTGCACCGCCGGCCCCGCGAAGCGACCCAGTGTCCCGTCGAACAATGACTCATGCCTGGAAATTATTTCATTCAATTGTTTATTATTATTGTCTTCTCTTGCGATGTTCACATTGTTTACATTTATTTTAGGTATTTCGATATTTAATTCTGAGAGCCATTGACGACCTAGCAGACTGGTAGTGCCGTTATTTATTACATACAAATCCAATTGTTTACTTATGTTTTTATATTTTACTTCCACCTTGATATAGCCAAGTGGTTGAATTATAGAACCATTATAAAATTTTAATTTTAATTGACAAGAATGAAGAGGCAAGTTACTATAGTTGGTCTGATAAGTAATAGAACTAATACAAGACAAGGCAGAACCGGTATCTATTTCCATGTTTAAAGACTTCTTCTGTACTAAAAGAGTGATACATACCGGTCTGTATTTACTTATAGACATTTGATACATCGGTTGCTCGTCATCCTCGTCATCGCTTTCTTTGTCGTCGACCCCTGGTATCGACGCCAAGCAGCCGTCGTCGTAATTGTCCTCTACCGTGCCGCCGCCGCCGTGCTGATGCACCCAGTACGTGTCCGCGTTCCGGTCGCTCCCGGAAACATGTCCGGCTTGGCCGCGGCTTTTTCCGCGCGTCGTTGCTGCGCCACCGTTGCCGCTACGCCTTCCACGCCATCCTCCGCGACCCCTTCCAGTGAAGGTCACTCCCCGTGGTTGGTAATTGCTAGGTGCCCTCGTCATTTCGGGTCTTGCACTTGCACTTTTTTCCGGACACATCCTTCTTAGGTGGCCTAAATTCTTACAGAAACTGCACTCGAAGTTTTTATATTTACAGTTTTCTGTCTTATGTCCGTTATCTCCGCACGCCATGCACTTTAAATTATTCTGGATCTTATTCACCGTGACTGTAGAACTAATGTCGCGATCGACAGCGCATGCATTTTTTTCGGCCGTTTCCAATGTTACCGCCAACTTGACCGCCCGATTAAATGCTATGCAGTCATCTTCCGCGAATAACCTTTGTCTCGTGGTTTCACTTGTTATTCCACACACGATTTGGTCACGTAAGTTTTCTTCTAGGGTCGAGCCGAAATCACAGGGTTTTGCGAGTCTCTTTAGCTCAGTGACGTAATCAGCTACCGATTCTCCGTTTGCTTGTCGCCGTTGCCGAAATAAGTATCGTGCCGCCAAGATTGATGGTTTAGGTTGTAGATGATTCTTCATAAGAGTAACTGCTACTTCATAAGTTAACGTCGATGGTTTTTGTGGACTCGATAATGTAGACAATAATTGATACGCTTCCTCCCCCATCACCGCAATTAAAGTGGGTAATTTGAGGTTATCTTCAATTTTGTTCGCAAGAAAATACATTTCTATCCGCTCACAATACACTGTCCAGTTCCCAGATTTCACATCAAATTCTTGAATTCGTCCCACGCCCCCCATGATAAAATAAAACAATATTTCTGCTATTNTATTAAATGATATGCTGTCATCTTCCGCGAATAATCTTTGCCTCGTGGTTTCACTTGTTATTCCACACACGATTTGATCACGTAAGTTTTCTTCTAGGGTCGAGCCGAAATCACAGGGTTTGGCGAGTCTCTTTAGCTCGGTGACGTAATCAGCTACCGATTCTCCGTTTGCTTGTCGCCGTTGCCGGAATAAGTATCGTGCCGCCAAGATTGAAGGTTTAGGTTGTAGATGATTCTTCATAAGGGTAACTGCTACTTCATAGGTTAACGTCGATGGTTTTTGTGGACTCGATAATGTAGACAATAATTGATACGCTTCCTCCCCCATCACCGCAATTAAAGTGGGTAATTTGACGTTATCTTCAATTTTGTTTGCAAGAAAATACATTTCTATCCGCTCACAATACACTGTCCAGTTCCCAGATTTCACATCAAATTCTTGAATTCGTCCCACGCCCCCCATGATAACACAATATTTCCGTTATTTACGCACACAAAACTTTTCACCCGTTCCGTTTGTGACGTGAGTCCGCCTGTCGCCAGTGACAAATAAGAGACGTGCGTACTGTTCGACATTTATTGCAAGACTAGTTTATGGAATACCCGCGTTACAATATATACCATCTGCNAATACTGTTCGACGTTTATTGCCAGACTGGTTTATAGAATACCCGCGTTACAATATATACCAGTTGTGATAAATGATTTTGATTATCCTGACTGATTGATAGATTAAATCGATTAAAAAATCAACATTCAATTGCGTATACAATTTCTTATTAATTATAAACTTGTATTGTCACACACACACGTTATTATTTATAAATAATAATTACATAAAGTAAAGATGGTTTATTATTTAGAATTGATATATTTTGGTAAAAAGTTCACAAAATTAAATTCCGATTTCGGACGAAAACGCGATTACGTCATGATGACGTCATCCATCTGGAATTTTATTGTTCATTCATATCATCTGTCATTAGTGTCAGTTATCGCCGCGGGTCGGTGGAATCTACTTGTTTGTTGTTTTCCCGGTTTCACCAAGAAAAAATCAATAATCAAGTTTTGAAAGTTATTTTGTGTTAAATTTAATAATCATGGGGTTTTCGGAAGGTCAAATTATGTTGGACAGCCCGACCGGCGCTTATTATTCTGGACAAACTGTAAACGGTCGAGTTATCTTCGAGTTGACCAAAGTAAAAACGATTCGAGGTCAGTACAAAAATGTAATTTGTATTTTTGGCGGATACATTTGATTTGCATTTTAAAGAGCCTTTGTGCTACAATAAATTGTTAGAAACATTTTGCTAAAAGTGTGAATAAAATCTCCTATCAATGCCATGTTTAGTTAGTTAAATAGGTGGGTAAAGTTAAAAATAAACCGTTTATCATTTTTTATCAATGCTTAACACATAACTAAAGAGTAGCTAAAAAAAAATTAATTTAAGACTGGATCAAAATTATTTTATTGGTTGTGATAAAGCAATACAAACAATCAGACAGATACCTTTAAAATCGGAAATATCTTTCAGTTAATTGGGCATTTAATACCTATGCCCGAATATTTTATAATATGTTTCTTAACCTTGGCAGGCTGGAACTTTATTTGTGCTAATAAATATTTAATTTTCTACTGTTTTGTGCGCTTTTTTGGAGTTAGTTTTGGCTGATTTCATTTGGATTGGAACTGGTAGATGATTCACTCATAAAACATGCTTTAATTAGTCTTAATTGTTTCTTTCTTAAATACATTGACGAAGACCAATCACAGAGAGCTAGATATTAGTTTAAGTTGATAATGGCGACCTTTTTACCTTATCTCCAAGAGTTCTTACACAATTTTTTCTGTGTTTTAGGATCAACTCCAAACCACCTCTTTTTTACACCCTGTGTACTTATGGAATAATTCAATCCATATAACTATTTATTTAAATTCAGCAGACTTTCACCACTTGTTGAGTAACATTAGTGTAGCCATAATAGCCATGAACTTGAGGATATACCAACCATATTTTCTACTACCACATTTTTTCTACTTGTTGACTCACACTTACCAATGCAATTAGCTCTCAAGAAACAAAGTTCAAACAAAACAATCTTATCAAATAGCATTATTTTACAATTTAACTTTTTGACCTTTATCTATAATATCTTTGGACATTTTACACTGCGCTTCTAGTCCCAAACTAAGCAAAGCTTGTACTATGGGTACTAGACAACTGATATAAACATACTTAAATACTTTTTTTTTGTAAATACATACATAAATTATACATAGAAAACACCCAGTCCAATACAAACAAACATGTTCATGCACACAAATGTTTGTACTGTGCGGGAATCGAACCCGCAACCTCCGGAATAGTAGTCCGTTTCAAACCACTACACCAAACGGCCGACAAAGTCTTAGCTACAAGATAGTTTTCCAACTTAGTTTCATGCATTCATTACTTATCTACCATTATGTAGTTTTAAATATTAATTAACATATTTAGGACAACCAACAAACAAGACAAAAACAAATAGGTACTACCCGTTCGCACTAAGTTTGCCGGTCTGTGGAATGCGCGATTAAACGCATTTAGTTAGTGATTAAACGCAATCAATGTGTCTTATTTTACGCAAATACACAATTTTTATCAAATAAATAAATAAACAATAATTTAAATATACTAGTTACTTAAAGTTATAGACGCTTCCCTTCGAGTGACGTCATATCGCCAGTGGCAAACTTAAAGTGAACGGATAGTACGCATAATTTCATATATTTTTTTTATTATTTATTTATACATTCATTGCATAACATTTGGCTTAAGACTGGTGCTATCTTAATTACATTTCAGGTAAATATCATCACATAGATATGTATTTGAGTCTGCTTTAATTTGAGACTGTCTGAAGATGATAATTAAATGTTAACAAACAAACATTGTGTTTAGATAGTATTGCAATAATTATGGTAGTATTGCAACCTTGAAGCAGTGCCATACACAGGGGCATGTTGCATTCTTCACATTTATACGACGTCCTTAACATCTTCAGCCATTCACGAAAGCAGTTAAAGCACTTCTGTCGCGACCATTTATCTTTTTCAGTCTGTTCTATTAGTATAGGCCAAAGTGGTCCTAGTTTATTATAAGTACGCGCAGCTTTTACAGGATTCACGCAAGTCGCAAGGCGAAATTTGGGACACTTCTCGTAAGTGATTCATAAGTATTGAATCCACCAACTCCAAGCGAAAAGTGAAGTGATTTGGACGTTCCATAACTTTCATAGCACATAGTTTTTTTGCCTGGAGCCACTGGGCGGCTTGTACAAATATATCTAAAGGAAGTGGGTACATTATTATTCGGTGTCTAAAGGCAAATAACGGCACTTATTCTCCTGAATTAATGTCGCTATATTTCCTTATGGAAGCCGGAGGAATTTTGTCATCATTACCTAGTGACGGGGGCACAGTCGATGGGGCGTAGTTAGCATACAAAACGTAAAACGTTAAACGTTGATAGCATAGTTTTTGCCGAAAAAATGTCCGCCATTTCTGGTAGTCTGGCGACCCTAGTTTACCCTCATACAAAGAAGGTTCTTCAAAATAATAATCATTAGCTTGTTAGGAAGTTTTACACGAATCTCGAGAATATTCCATGCTTCTAGTTCTTTTCCTCGAATTTTCAAAGTTTACAAGAATACTTACTGCTAAATTCTCTATTTCGCAAATGGTAGAGTTTATGGTGGTGGTTCATAGTGTCACAAATAGTGCTCGAGACCTATTTGAGTCGTGGGTGCGCGATTTAAAAACGATGCGATTCGGTTGTGAAATCATTTGGTGTGCCAGTTGTAACATACTCGTAGAATATAATAGACCATACAAAACACAAAACCAACTGCGTGTGCTGTGCAGATTCACGTCCTGTCTCAGTTACGGTTACTATCGAATTTATTTTTTTCTTTTACAACTTCTCTACATATTTAATGCGCAAAAGATTGTAGGTACGACTAGTAACATTAGGTTTCATTACGTTTAGATAATTATTTCAAATGTGTAGTGCAACTATCGTCCATCAATTCTTTCTTTAATCGAATTTGTCCTGATTTTTTTTCATCGCGTTATTACACCCTAATTATTGCCATAAACTTTGTCAATCGCTCCTTCGAATAGGCAGATAGTATTTTATACACTTCCTAGTTCCTACGCCAATACAATGTTCAAAACATATCAAGAAACCAAAACGGAATCCGAATCTTTAGGTAGGTACTTTACTATACCTACTTGTTTCTCACCCGCTATATTTATAGCGGCACGCTGTGTGACCTTGCCGACCACTTTTTGCCGCGATAAATCGACAAAGAGATAATATTCGCCAGTCGCGGATTGTTTAATAAGGATTAGTTTACAATTTTACATGAGTGTTTGTTGTCATTGCAATCACTGCAGTTCTATCATAATATCTAGGTCATAGCATTACCCTACAGCCAATAGAGGTGGAAGGTGGAACAGTAAAGAAAAATGTTGCAAAAACGGGAAATATTATTCAAACTATTTTCACGCGGATGAAGTCGCGGGCACAGCTAGTATCATAATATTATATTAAGAAAAGACGCTAAAGTCTCGAAATACTTAGTAGGATAATGCAATGGTTTAGTATTGGATGTAGGTAATTACCTAAAAAGCAGGAAAATAATGTTCTACTTATTGCGAAGATTATTATGTAGGTACCTACCTAATTCCATAAGACTTAAGTATACCTACCTAAAAGAGATATAAGTGTATTAAGCATTTATGTGGAAAGTATTATGACGCCTCATAGAATGATCACCAAAAACCATAAAGGAGAAAATAAACTTAAAATTCTTTGGACTAGCTCAATTTTGCGTAGCCTCAATGTCTTCTAATCTACTGATCAGAGTGCTAAATAAACTAGAGGGGTTAAAGTTCAAAGAAAAATAGGAAATATCATTCAGTAACGTCTCGCATTTCCGTACTCGTACTAACGAAGCTAAATTACCAAAATTCATCCAGATGCTATTGAAGTTGGTAATTAAACCCATTTGCGAGGATTGGCGTCGGCGTGGCGCGTCGCTCCCTACATTTTGGGCGATCTATACTTTGTTCGTATACGATTCGAGGTCATGGGCTCAATGAGGGCTATCGTTTTTATACTTAACAGTTGGCACCCCTGGCGATTGACAGGATCTTACTCTACAGTGGCGCCATCTTGATGAGTGCAAATACGATAGTCCTCCTACCACTTTCGCGCTCACCAGTTGGCGCCACTGTCTTCGCTACTAGCAAGTGACAGGACCTTACTCTACAGTGGCGCCAACTGGTGAGCGCTAAAACGATAGCCCTCATTTAATACGTCAAGTTCAGGAAAGGGATTGCGAACTTACCATATTGAGCGCGCGAGCCGTGCCTGTCCGAGAAAATAAGTAAATAAATAATCTATACTCTTAGATTTAAGTCTATACTAATATTATAAATGCGAAAGTTACTCTGTCTGTCTGTATGTCTGTCTCTCTTTCACGCCTAAACCAATGAACCGATTTTGATGAAATTTGGCACAGAGAGAGATAGTTTGAGTCACGGGAAAGGACATAGGATAGTTTTTATGCCGGTTTTTGAAACAGGGACGCGCGCGATAAAGTTTTTCTGTGACAGACAAAATTACACGCGGGCGAAGCCGCAGGCGGAAAGCTAGTGATACATAATTGTATTGTAATTCAATCTCAAAAGATATGAATACTCTTATCTGTCACGGTCTCAAAGTAAGAAAATCAGAAGAATTACACTTGCTGATCAGTTTTTTTTTTCGGTTCAGTCATTTGCTGATTAAGGAAAGATCCAAAAGAAATAAACAGTTTTTTGCATAAATTATGATAAACAAATGAATAGTTAACCGAATGGAAAACGTTTGCCTTTAGGTAACACAATACAACTATAATACCAATACATGCTAGAAAACCCAAGCGTTTGTGTTTGGGGTACCATACCATAATTTATTATATTTATTTGTTTCAGGTATTTTCGTGAAATTCCACGGCTTCTGCTCCGTGCACTGGACCACACGAAAGAGCAGGCGCGTCAACGACAGGACAGAACACTACACAGTCTCGCACGACTCCCACGAAGAGTATATCAACCTGAAGATGTATATCCTCGGCAGCAAGAATGGTAGGAATCTGTTTGTCTCAGCTCAGTCTAAAGTCTGTTCGCCGAGAGTTGATAAAAAAATTTAAATATCAGAGGTTCTAACTAAACTCATTATAAATTGCGGCCCGCTAATTATTTTTTTCGATATAATGAAAAAGTTGGTTGATTATTTGGCCTGGATTCTCGGCTCGGTTACAATTTAATTTTGGACTACCATTTATAAGAATGTTCTAAAAATACCAATTATCTACCAAAATCTACTAAACGATTTCGCACTACTAAATCATCGTGATCTTTGCCTCAAATCTACCAAAAAAGTAGAAATCTACTAAAAGTGGTCACTCTGTGGCTGCCGCCGCCCGCCGGCCGGGGCGCTTGACGACAGCTGCGTGGCTCGTACCATGGTAGGTACTCAGTGCGCGTTGTGACAAACGACGCCCGCCATAGAGAATGCGATAATTAAGCGACAGTCACTATTGCAAGACATTTCATAATATTTATCAACTCTCGGCGAACAGACTTTAGATAAATTACTAATTGACTAGTACCTACCGTGACCGTCCATAAAGGTTTCCCTCAAGGATATCCACATAACAACGATCGGTCCAGCTCTGTCCACATCCAGGTGTTTCCCGCGAACATCACCTGTGTGCCTACCATGAGTTTACGTTNTGGGTCAGACTATCTGACTCTGACACCAGCTTTTTAAGTGTGTAACTGGAATAAATAATAAATGCTCTATCCGCGTTTATTAATACACTAGACAAAAATCCTGTTTTATTATGAACAGCCATAGTGTAAGATATGCTTATTCATGAGACGATACATTGACTATCTCATAAACCTGTTATACTATAACCTATACGTCTTAACTAACAAAAATCGGGAAATTCGAATCGAACGTCGGGAAAATTCAACTCGCATCAAAACACAATCATTGAGACTTTCCGACACATCCGAGCGAGGTAACTCTTAATTAAGCTATCGGCAATAATATCGGAAGTAGAGCTTATAGCCAAGTAGCACCAAGCTCACGGGCAGCGACCTCGCGGCCTCGTCCTTTGTAGGCTGTCGCGCGCCTTGACCTGCTTATTAATTGTGATCTGGATTTGTTTTTAATAATCTTGTCCAGTAGCGAGAAAACTCGGTGCGATATACAGTGGCTAGTTAGTTAGTTAATTTTATTAAAATAGCCGTATATTTATACCTTGAGCGTGTAAAAAAACTGTCCGTTTAAAAAGTTATACAGGGTTATTTAGTCAACACAACTACTGCGACACAAGCCTGCGAGGCTAGTGCAGAAATGGTGGTCATTACAACCGAGAAAAATATATGCTATTATTATTACTTATGTAGTTACATTTATTTAAATCGTTGTCGTCTCGTATGTTTAAACCTACAGCATGTTAAAAACATAACCATCCTTCTGGCGTAGTCGGGTAAAAAGCTGTCCGTTAAAAAGGGAGAAATTCTGGTGCTCCTATCAACAACAAAAACATGTTAGGTGGTCGGTTTTACCTTTGAAAGTCGCTTTATTTTAGTTTTAAACATTTCACTCGATTAATTGTTGTAAAACCAGATTTTGAAAGCTTTGACCGATTTATAGAGCTCGCGAGCAAGTGATGTCATTTACCTATGTTGTCGCGCAGATTTGGCCGAAACTTATCTAATCTATCAAAATCATCTATCGAAATCAGTCGCAAAGTAGCTTCGCTAGCTCGTAAATATTAAGACTTCATAATCAGAGCTTGTGCATTATACTTAACTACCATAAATGTAGATAACATTTAACTGATAAACAAACTCGATAAAATTATAACTATACTTATGGATGGAAATACATATACGTCGGCCGTTTGGTGTAGTGGTTCAGAACGGACTACTATGCCGAGAGGTCCCGGGTTCGATTCCCGGCCGGGCAGAAATTGAAATGATGAATTTTAATTTCTGTGACGGGTCTGGGTGTTTTCTATGTATAATATGTATGTATTTACAAAAAAAAAGTATTTAAGTATGTTTATCCCGTCGTCTAGTACCCATAGTACAAGCTTTGCTTAGTTTGGGACTAGAGGCGCAGTGTAAAATGTCCAAGGATATTTATATTTATTTATATTTATATTTATATTATATATTTATATACAGGGTGACTTTTGTATCAGTATCCAAATTTTTTCCTGACATTAGGTATCGTTTATAGATGACATTTTTAATAAAAAATAGGTAGGTCAAATTTTAACATCAACTATTTTTTTCCTAACCAATTAATAACGTAGTGTGGTTACCGCGCTTAGCACGTAAACATTTTGCGGGAGAGCGAGTCGAGCGGAGAGCTGGCAACGTGTGGCAACGCTCGACCGGCCGGCCTGGCCGCGCGGCGCATCAATCAGTCGCCCGCGCAACCCATTACGAGACGCGCGTATCGCTGCGCGCGCCGATCGTTCCGTCGCGCCGTCAACGTAACGATGTATTCGCAGCGGGAGTGTTATGAAATGATTCGGTGCTACATTTTAAGTGGAGAGAGTTTGAACCGGGCCCAGAGGAATATCTCAACTTCGTAACCAAGGACTAAACCCAACAGTGCCAAACCGGTGAACGATTTTAGCGGCAAACTGAAGCGAGATCCGCGAGCAAGTAGGTAAGTACCTACACGAGACGCGAAGTGCGAAATAACACTGTAGTTTTAAATAAACTCAAAGACAATGTACAAAAGCGTGCAAGTCTGTCTGGAGAAAAATGGTATGCATGCACTTTGGGCAATTATCAAAATACCTTCTCATAATTTGTTAGTTTGTAGTTAGGTTAGGTAGGTTTGGTAAGCAATCTCAATTATTGCACATGAAAATAATGATGAACTTTTTAAATACCCCCGAATAGGTACACAAGAAAAGTAGTGTTACCGATACTCTCGGTGATTTTATTTTGTTTTTGATAGCGTAATTATTGTCGTAGGTATTTAATTTTTCTACCATAAATTAGTAAGTCTGTTTAATTAAAACTAATTACCACTTTGAAATCTTTTGCATTTTGACGGTCTCCTAATCCCGTGAAAGTATGAAGGGAAAATCGACAACTTATGAATCGTATCGCAATGAATGAAATGCGGCGCGGGCAGGCGCGTACGTGTGTGCGTGCGTAAGCGAGTGAGCGAGCCGTGACCACGGTGTAAGTGTTTTTTCAGACTGTTTCTGGGTGCTTTATTTTGAAATTTTTGTACTGGACGATACAAAAATAAAAAATACGTGTTTTGTCTTTCGCTTCATAGATTATTATATTAAAATTTGGATACTGATACAAAAGTCACCCTGTATAAATCCATACTAATATTATGAGAAAGTATATACATTTTAACATGGTTTAACACATGATACGTATATGACCTCAATTACAGGTATACACAGCATTTCTTTTTGCAATGTTAGGGTAAGTAATTATACACTAGTAAAAACAAAAATCAATTGAATAGAGTCTAGAGTTTAAGCACCGAACAATATAAAGGATTTAGTAATTGTTCATTTTGTACGGACATATACATCTCTCAAAAGAGCATTCTAGTGCAGATCCGATGTAAAAATTGTGGGTTTCTTTTTCACGGGTGCCATGAAGGGGTATTTTATTTAATAGACCTTCCCTTCATGGTTTAAACGTTATTTATTTATTTTATTTAAGGCACAGATACTACTACCTAGAAGTTATATAAATACTATCTGTAGGAATATGTTAGTAGCCATATCTAAACATTGGTTTTGATCGATCTGATAAAAAACCATTTGAATTAGTAACGCGTTATCTCATATTCATGGTGAAGTTCCTGATAAAACAAAACGTCATTTCATGATGATTACACAATATTGTATTGCACCATTGTGATTAGTTACCAAAAAAGTTATTGGTTTGGATTGAAACGAGCTAAAAGTAGGATCCTGAGGATATTGATATAGACGCATGCTTATAGATTTTTATTTTTTTATTATTGTGCGGGAATCAAACCCGCTACACAAATTGCCCAGAACGACAACCACTAAGCTTAGGCGGTCATCAGTATCTCAAGGCATAATTACTTATCAAGTAAACAACGTGGGTAAGTATGTGTAGACCACAGAACGTAGAAAGAGGTGTAGACTCTACACTGTAGTCTCTTAGCCATATTTAAAATAAGATCTAAAAATCTTGTATCGTAACTGTTTGCGAAGCATAGCTGATGTAAGGGCGGCCGAAAGGACATACTCTACCTATATTTTGAATTCGCCTTTATCTTGTAGGTAAATTAAGTAGCTATAGCTAACCGTCCATTAGAAGGCTCGGTAAGATGTATGCATACGGTTAATCACCAAGGGATTATTGCAAAATCCTTATAAAAACATGCAAACAAATACCGATTTACTCTTAACCTCTGGTGACATCATGAATTACCGACAGCCTTCAGCTAAACGGGTTTAGGGCATTAAAGCAAAGTTTGTATGCAACTTTATCACAACCTGCCATTTCCAATGGACATCGGAGTGAGTGACTCGTGCCGGGCTGCATAGTAAAAAGTGTGATGTGTAGAATATTCAATTAAGGTCAGAAAAAACGTGATTTTTGATCTAGTAATTTGGTCTGCTCTTTTGTATGGCTTTTATTTGGTGATACCTATAGTGTTAATTTCTATTGTGGCTTTTGGATTTTTGGATTGCAACGAAGTTTTCAAGATGACTGAGGTTTGTAATTTTGTTTACTTAGAACTCTAGCATAATCTAAATATATACCTATAACTCAAAGGTGACTGACTGACTGACTGACATAGTGATCTATCAACGCACAGCCCAAACCACTGGACGGTTCGAGCTGAAATTTGGCATGCAGGTAGATGTTATGACGTAGGCATCCGCTAAGAAAGGATTTTACGAAACCCCACCCCTAAAGGGCTAAAACGGGTACGAAGTCGCGGGCGGACGCTGTAATAGGTAAAGCTCAAGAAAGTGTGACATAGTGTCATGGTCCTCTTTAGGACAATCTCCAGTTTCCAGATGTATTATCATAATCTAATAAGGTTTTTTTTTCTTTTAGTTAGATAGTTTCTGATTTAGCCAACTATAGTCCGATTTTTAATTCGACGGAATTCTGACAGCTGTCATTTTTTGACAATTCAGATGTAATAAGCCTTTTTTGCTTTGAATTATTAATAAATAATATGAAATGAAATTTCATGAACTACAACTTACAAGAATGAACTATTGTTTGTTTTNTGGTAGGCACACTGATCTAAATCTAATCATTTCAAGGTAGAAAAACGGGACCATTTCTCACCTTTCCGGTACTTCTTGTGACCTTCACCAGATCGTTGATCGACCTAGTGGGGGGCTGCCCATACTACCTCCAGCTCGTGGTCACCATTCGGGAACTTCTGTCCCAAACGGCCATCAGCTCTACGAGCGATTTAAAACATTCAACTAATCCATCCGTTTGCAGCGGAACACAAACTCAACCCGGGCAAATACGAGTACCCGTTCACGTTCCAAATCCCGGACAGCTGTCCGTCCGCGTTCGAGGGCTCCCACGGACACGTGCGCTACGAGCTGAAGGTGGTCGCCGACCGCGCCTTCAAGACTGACCAGGAGATCTTCCACCCGCTGCGAGTTATCGCGCCGCTGGACCTTAACTACCAGAACTGCAAGGTGAGGCGTTCAGAATGGTAACGATATTTAAGATTAGGGGCTGGTCACGAGAAGTCATGCACTTGGTGAAAAGCCCTTAAGCAATGGAGCGATAGTAAATATAAAGTTGCAGAATATCCTCTTCTTAGATGACTTCCCAGTTTCCGCCCGCGTAGTTTTCGATTTGTCACCGAAAGTGACTGATTTCGATTACCTCGCTGTCCTGCCCGAGTAATCGCCAGATTAATTGCTACAATCGCGTAAAAAGGCTACATATCGCGCGTCCAAACTGTTCTGAAACACTTTACAGGAATCTAACTATCCATAAGACAAGTTCACATTCACATTACCATTGATATTTTTGTGACAAAAGATAGCTCTAAACCTTTGCCAAGATTCAATTTCTCTATGTACAAGTACACAACATAAAACTTCAGACAGATAAAAGATATTTTCGCATTTGTGTTTAATTACGTTGCCTACATCGGCTGCATACGGTGTCAATCCAATGCCACAATACCTTTTCATAACCATCATCGTTTCCCACAGGAGCCACGCACGATGGAGTTTGACCAGACCTTCTGCTGCTGGTGCATGAGCTCCGGAGCGGCCCACACGCTGGTCAAACTACCGGTCACGGGCTATTGCCCCGGGCAGGTCATCCCACTGGAAGTCAGCTGCTCCAACGAAAGCAGCGTCGAGCTGGATCAGATCAAGTTCGCTATCAAGAAGGTGAGTGTGGATGGAGTTTGACCAGACCTTCTGTTGGTGCATGAACTCCAATGCCGCGCACACGCTGGTCAAACTGTCAGCTGCTTCAACGCCAGCACCATCGAGCTCGATCAGATCAAGTTCGCTATCAAGAAGGTAATCATGTAGATGAAGTTTGACCAGACCTTCTGTTGGTGCATGAACTCAAATGCCGCGCACACGCCGGTCAAACTGTTAGCTGCTTCAACGCCAGCACCATCGACCTGGATCAGATCAAATTCGCTATCAAGAAGGTAACTCTAATCATGTATATGGAGTTTGACCAGACCTTCTGTTGGTGCATGAGCTCCGACTCGGCGTACACGCTGGTCAAACTGCCGGTCACGGGCTATTGCCCCGGGCAGGTCATCCCGCTGGAAGTCAGCTGCTCCAACGCCAGCAGCGTCGAGCTCGATCAGATCAAGTTCTCTATCAAGAAGGTAACTATCGCCCGTATTCACAAACGATGCTAGCTTAAGTGACGCAGCAAATCGAACGCATAGCGTTGAATAGAGCTCGTGATTGGTTCGTGTGTCACCCTGTGCGTCCACGCGTACTGTGAGGCCTCATAGTAACGTTTGTGAATACGGGCGTCAATCATGTAGATGGAGTTTGACCAGATGTTCTCTGCTGGTGCATGAGTGCACATATTCAATAGTATTGCCTCGTTTTGAGCTATCGCTAGTATCGATAGTCGATACTATCGATAGGCCAATCGATAGTCTTGCGATAGTTTGGCTATCGATAGTCGACTATCGATCGGCAACACTAGTTTCAGCCGAAAGACGTCCACTGCTGGACAAAGGCCTCCCCTCAGATCATAGAAAGAGAATAGATATGAAGTCGCGCGTAACTACAACGAGAACCAGTGTCCCCACATTTCCCCCACCACAGCTCCCACACACACATTCAACTGTGTAAAAACAAAGCGACTGAGAGTCTACGACAACATGTGCAACCGGCTTAAAAGTGCTGTGATTGGCCAGAAGGCGTGCCTTATGGCCAATCAATGGCCGCGTGACGTGACGCACACTTAGAAAACGCTAGTGAGAGAACAAAGATAAAATGGAGTCGACAAGATATCGATACTTTATTATAGGCAAGGCTCGAAACTGGTTTCACAAAATGCTTATGTATGAAAACCTTTTTATTATTATACGTTATTATTATAGCCTGACCAGGAACATAAAAACCCTGGCATAGAGGCGCGTCAATTGCATTTGATAGTGCAACACTGAGTACAGTCGTACCTGTGTTAAATTAATAGGGTAACTTTATGTATTAGGATTCAGGATTACGGGCTAATTTGATATTTTCATAAATTAACGAAACAATATTATTATAGGTAACCTGGTTTAANAAAAATCAGAGTTTAGGTACTTGCGCTAGAATGAAGTCGGTAAAAATCATTATTTTTTAAAGCTAATCTTTAAACCCACATCCTTTGGAATTAATTAACTGGTGTCATCCTTATTAGTGCAATCATAATAATGTTGCCATTGATGACTGCGTGTGTGCCAAAAATAACTATGATTAAGTACTTACTGTTGAAATAAGATAATTCCAAATTAGGAAAGAGTGAGTATATTGAATCTCGTGTAAATACCTAGGTACATCCGCGATACTAAAATATATTACCTGATATTGATATTTAAATTAGATGCAAAATAACATAATTGATATTTCGAACTAATTTTGCTAGACGTACTTAAGTTACAAAATGTCGAATAAATTGTATTTTTGGATTGGATTCTCTCGATCTGAAGATCGACAGCCTTTTTAAGTCCTGGACTCATCCAGGGTTCGATTCCTAGATGGGATAGGTACATAATTTTAAAACATATTGTGTACCTACTGCTTCTGTATTGTACTGTACCGTTCTGTACTTTTTAACGGATGATTTCAGTTAATTGGAATTATGAAAAATTGCTTGTCACCATTACGAAGCACCTAACTACTATCAAAATTATTCCTGAAATTATGAAATATGTAGTTTATTTACCTAGAAGCGATAATGATAGATCATCGCTGTTCGTTATCAAAAAACAAATCCGAAGGCAAAGAATGAGTGAATCAAATTATCAGTATTCAGTAGTGATACGGAAGTGCTCGTGTGTGTTCTGTTTTTGGTTAATTTTGTTCAATTCACGATGACAGAGAAAATTCGCGAGGAGGTTTGTGCTATTTTTTTATACAATTGGAGGAAGAGGGCCGTGTATAATGTATAAGGACAGCAGGCCATTCCGCGTTACGGTTGGATATGAAAACTATGTAGGAAATTGCTACTATCTACTACTTTTAGCAGGTAGTATAGTTATTATAGAGCATTATAGCTAACTGACTATATTAACGCATCGGTGAATTTGTCTGTCTGTCACAGGGCTGCATATTTCCAATCAGTTATGTAGTACTTACATGGAAATGTTTTGTAGATACTGGCAATTTTAAGTGTTCTGTTTGTCTATTTCAATAAATACCTAATCTATACGTACCTAATTAACAATAATACATGCGTGTTTAAGTTTTGTCAAAATCCACTGCTACACTAGTTTCGGTAATATGAGCCCAGCACCCAGCACAGCACGCTAGTTCTACTGTTTTATTAAACCAACTGGCTACCACAGAAGAACTATTTTTAACTAGCTTTCCCCCCGCGGCTTCGCCCGCGTGAAAAAAGGGCTGCTTTTAGGGGTTTCCCGGAAATTATTGGAATTTTTCCTCGGACTTTAACAAACATTTAAAACAAGAATTGATAAAATTGGTCCAGGCGTTGTTGAGTTATGCGCTTCCCAACACATTGTGCGATTCATTTTTATATTAAAGCCTAAAAATAATTATGTTCTCTCTCACTTCTGTCTTACAGGAGATCATGAGGCTTAACGAGCCGCCTCCCCCACCGCAAGGCGACATCATGGAACGCATCATCACCGAAGTGGGAGAGATGGGCCGCTACCAGCGATGGCTCTTCGTCTCCATGATGCCATTCGGCCTGTTTTTCATCTTTGCGTATACGGTACAGATGTTCATAGCTGCCACGCCACAGGAGCACTGGTGTAAAGTACCTGAGCTGCAACATTTGGACTTGGATTTAAGGTACGAACAGCAACATTGTTGCTGTAAAATCATCCCTAAGATCAAGCCCTAGAGCACATTATCATCGAGGTGGGAGAGATGGGCCGCTACCAGCGATGGCTCTTCGTCTCCATGATGCCATTCGGCCTGTTTTTCATCTTCGCGTATACGGTACAGATGTTCATAGCCGCCACGCCACAGGAGCACTGGTGTAAAGTGCCTGAGCTGCAACATTTGGACTTGGATTTAAGGTACAGACAACAACATTTTTATGCAAAAACAACCCTAAGGTCATGAAGCTCAACTAACGCATACTGCGGATGACGTCATTATGGAGCGGATCATTCATGAGCCAGGTGGGAGATCCTCTGTTGGCGTGTTCATGCACACAGAGTAACTACATAGATGTTCGTGACCCACCTACGAATCCAGGGCTTCCCGCGACTTTTACCAGATCGTTAGTCCAGTGAGTCCGCTAGTACCTATTATACTTCGTTCATTAATAACGCATCTACAAGCATATTCAATAGAGTTCTTAATTACTTTTTGTCAAAATCTGCAGTTGACTCTTCAATGAAATAGGCTAAGTACCTATCTGCGTTACTATATTCCATTATACTACTTGATCTTTGTCGTTTCCAGACGAAACCTCTCAATACCGGGAGCAGTAGACGGGCCGGACTGGAACCGGTGTGAAGTTTACGACGCCAACTGGACGCAAGTGCTGCAAACCATGATGCCTCCAGTTGGGAGCCCCACCGTCCCCTGCCGTCACGGCTGGGAGTTCCTTTACAACGATATACCGTACACTACGGTTGTAAGCGAGGTAAGTAAGGTAATGCCAGGAGCAATAGACGAGCCGGAATGGAACCGGAAACCGGAAAACGCAGCGTGGGACGTCCACCCATAAGGTGGACCGACGACCTGATAAAGGTAACAGGAAGGCGCTGGATGCAGGCCGCTACCAACCGTGCGATGTTTAAGTCATCGGGGGAGGCCTATATGCAGCAATGGACGTCCTGTGACTGAAATGATAATGATGACTGGAACCGGTGTGAAGTGTACGACGCTAACTGGACGCAGGTGCTGCAGATTATGATGCCTCCAGTCGGGAGCCCCACAGTCCCCTGCCGCCACGGCTGGGAGTTCCTTTACAACGATACCACTGTTGTGAGCGAGGTATAAGTAAGGACTACGTAAATTTTAATAGTTTTCAGGAAGAAGAAGACACAGGAGAGAAGACCGATAGGGTCAAATGAAGCCACCTACTAGCGATAATTAGTTACCTATAGTCAAAGGTCAAATAATTAGCTTTAAGGGTAGGGAGGATCCAAAACCATTGAGTAATGTCACAGAATAAGTAATAGTACTGGTAATGTCGTAAGAGCACTTATGAAGTATCTACATACTTTATAGGTACTTACAAACTATACAAGTATACTGATTTATGTAGATACTTAAACCTAAGATTCTAAGCTCATATCTATGAAATTTTAGTTAATTAGCAATGTTCTGTGAATTTAAGCCTATTATCTATCTATTCCATGATAATAAATAATAATGTTGTCTCTACTTAGGTATTAGGTATTTCAGTCAATAACTAGATCGCAATTGACAAGATCACAATTGTTTCAGCGAGGATGGGTGTGCGAGAACGCAGGAATCGCGCCCTTCGCGCAGACTATGTTCTTCGTTGGGTCGCTGGTGGGGTGCGCATTCTTCGGCTGGGTGGGAGACAAATATGGACGAGTGCCAGCTCTAATAGGTAGGCATGAAACCAAAAGTATTTCTTTAAGCCTGATATGCTTTGGACGCCCAGAACTAACAAGATCGGCTAATGATGTTGCCGTAAGAAATTGACTGTTTTCATGAGAAAGTAAGAAAAAAATATGTGGAAGGGAAAAAACTAGAAGATCTAAGCCTTGATAGTTCTCGTTGGCAAAGCAATTGAACCCTAGCGGAATGAAGTAGGTTACTGAGTTTTGACAGTTTCATGAACTCTACAATACCTCAGTAACGGGTGAATATCAACAAACTCGTTTTTTGCCTAATTCCGGTGGCGAATTTTAATTTCCACTTTCCAAAACTTTTTTGTGGCAGAAATAATAGTAAATAACTTGTATTATTCAATAATATGGTAGAGATCAAAATATTGTTAATACTTCTCGAGATATGTCAATTTGAAATTATCAAGAGCCACCGAAATTGTATTTGAGCCACCGGAATTAAGAACCAATCCACCGAAATTTATTTATACAGCGGTCTTCGGAATGTTACGGATGATTGTCTCAAATTACTTATTTATTTGTAATCAATAAAGTATTATTATCCAGTAAAGATGTTTATAATTAAAAACAATATTCAGGCCTGTGTTGTGACCCTAAAAAAGCATCAAATCTTCCTACGTGAGTCGTAATAGCCGACTAAGGAATCAAAATACTGGAGGGTGGGCTGCAGCATCTTTCCGGGTATTATACTACCATACTGGAACTACCAACCAGCCTGTTAAGCATGGTGATAACGGCAAAATATCACGCATTTATTTTTTAATTATTGCGATCTGCGTACCGCATATGTTTATCAAAAATAATGCCTATATTAGGCTTTCAACTAGCTCTTATAGTAATTACATAGTTGACAGTTACTAATTACTTCTACTGTTATTATTTTTTTGTAAAATCTTATAATCGCAAATAACACATCATTTTTTTATTTAAAATTACAAAATAGAAAATTATAATTTACTTCTATTTATCGATAATAGGAAACCGCATTAGAACACGAGCACGGCACTATGTTACGACCGGCACATGCGGCCGTACTGTGTATTTTCACACGACCGTGGATATCGGAAGAAATTAAATACATTGCGCAGTAGTTGAGCATGACATAAAGTGGTTGCTAACTAAATCGTCAATGTACAAGCACGGTAATACTATCATACAGTATTGTAACTTCATATAAACGGACGAAACGCGAGCTTTTCTTCGAAATTCAAATCTCGGTATGCGCTCGACATGCAAAAGTCGGGGGTGTCGCGAATGTGCCACAGTAATAAACTGAAGATGTGTTGTTTTGTAAACAGTAAGTGTTGTTTTTATAAAAAATAATTACAAGTACCTAATTATACAGTGTGTTAGGTAAATGGGCTTATAAGCCGACACTAGCCCATAGTAACATTATATTGTAAATGGTATGGTTTAGTCAGTGTTATCATATTTTTTTTAATTTTCATACAAAATAAAATTTATAAAATCAGATTTGTATGAAAATTAAAATGATTAAAATGCTGATATAAAATTTCTGACTTCACCATACCATTTATGCACACGTTAACATGGGCTAGTGTCTGCTTATAAACCCATTTACCCAACACTCTGTAAATCAAGCATTTTGTACGCCTCGGTCGAGGAGCATACATTTTACGGTCGCAAAATAAGATTTGTTACTAAATCTTGACACAATTTTTTTTTTAGTTAATACATCTACTAATGACAAGACAACATGCATTTTATCCTATTTCATTCACAAAGTATTTTGTTTGTCAAAATAAAATAAAAAATTACAATCACAAATACACTCACAAAACTAGATAGAAATTCTAAGTAGGCAGATGTAGTGAAAATAGGGTCTGCAGGTGGGCAGCCCTATCGCATGTTGTCATAGGGTGACGTACCGCTCGGCTGTTGACATTTATTTCAAAAATATGGCCGAGTTGGAATACTGTATAGATAGTATTACCGTGGTACAAGCGTGTTAGAATTTTTATCACCACTGATTTCGATATCGCAGTAACTGTTACGGCACTGAATTCGTTCGTAAAAATGTTTAGTTTTTTTTATTTATAAGCAAAATACCAATGGATTTGCAATACTTACATGTAGTAAATGACTCCATTGTTCCTGTAGTTCGTTCATTTCACTTGTTTTATTGCACGTAACGACGCATTATCCAAAATATCGGAGAACATTTCCTTAGTACGACTGAATCGCGACTAACCTAGCTACGCGGCCGATGTTCGTTTCTGGGCATATCGCGGAGACACGCGCCACACCCCCGTTTCACATCTATTCCCTTCTATGATCTGAGGGCCTCCCCCAAGGATTTCCACAAAGACCGGTTCTGCGCCGCTCGCGTCATCAATCATTGTGTGCTGTATTATTATCATTATTTCTCTTCCAGGACACATTCTTCCGCGCCGTAACGAATCCGGGCGAGAAGTCGGACCACGACACTGTCCTGGAGATCACGAAGGGTCCTATCCCCGGGAATACGGAGCGAAACTGGACCGTGGAATTGCAAGTGCCGGAGGTCGGCGTGTACAATCTGAACACCTGCTCCTTTATTGACATACGGTACACCTTGAAGGTCAGTCGAATATGGTTGCTGATATTAATCAATAATTCTGAGATTCTGGCAAGGGCGTACCGAGTGGGGCGGGGCAAGAGAGGACAGCGACTCCCTGGAAATGGTACATCTCTACAAATCTGCCCTATGTTTTGCCCATATTAGTCTGTACTAGGGACACTGCTCAAGACCAGAAAAATATTTCAGATTGAACAATGACATGACAAATGACAACGAAAATATCAATTACTAGCGGCCGCCCGCGACTTCGTACGCGTGGATCCCGTTTTACCCCCTTCATCTATCTTACGCAGTTTAGATTTTTTCATACAAAAGGATTTTTCCGCTAATTCCTGTTCCCGTGAGAACGGGATAAAAAGTATCCTATGTCCTTCTCCTGGCTCTAAACTACCTCCCTGACAATTTTCAGCTAAATCGGTTCAGCCGTTCTTGAGTTAAAAGTGGAGTAACTAACACGACTTTACTTTCCGGTCCCCCTGTTAGTTCCCACCATTTATATTGAACTTTATCTTAAAATAAAAATAAAAAAATAATTAATTATGTTTCAGGTCAGCATAGAAACTTCCGGATGCCACGTGGACGAGGACGACTCCTGCCCCATCATATTCGGGACTATCCCGATCGTGGGTTTCCAGGACAACCTTCCCGGGCTAGTCAACCAACTACCTCAAGTCAACCCTGCCGCCCCGTACCCGCTACCGGTCGTCAACCAACCGGTCGCTGCGAACAACTTCCAAGGCGCCAACTCCGCCTATCCGGGCCAGACGTACCCTGGAGCGTCCCCGTACCCACCCCCGAATGTGTCTCCGTACCCCAGCCCCAATCCGCCGTACCCTAACACCAACTCGCCGTACCCCAATCCGCCTTACCCCGGCGCCAGTCCGAATAACGCTCCGTACCCTGCACCGAATCCTCCTTACCCGCAAGGCAACTCTAATGGAGCCCTGAACCCCTCACCGTACCCGAACCCACCATACCCCGGTGGGGCTCCAAACCCATCACCGAATCCACTGTACCCTAGCGAAGCTCCAAACGCGTCACCGTACCCTGGCGCCAACCCGCCGTGCCCCAGCGGGCCTCCAAACGCGTCACCGTACCCTGGCGCAAACCCTCCGTACCCCAGCGGGCCTCCAAACGCGTCTCCGTACCCTGGCGCCAACCCGCCGTACCCTACCACACCTTCAAAAGGCAACCTCCCGTTTCCTACCGCAGGGGCGTACCCTAGCACCCCCGCTGAGAATCCATCCGCTTCAAGCCCGTATACCCGCCCTATGATAGGCGGGGGACTAAGGACCGGCACAACTGGGTTCATAGGCGCCCCGGAACCGGCGGCGATTCCTTTACTGCCGCCTGGCGCGGGCGTCCCGTATCCTACCGTAAGTTGATAAATATTTTACCTGCTGTTCTTATAAACTAAATGTTCACTGCTGGACAAAGGCCTCTCCCAAAGATTGCTTCACGCGACCTACACTAATATATCTGCTGTATTAATAATAACTGTGCACCTTTGTTATAAACTGTGTTTGCATTGGGTGCTATACATTACATGCAGTGGTTAATTTGATGTGCTGCTTCCTTACCTTCAATCATAAATGTTGTTTAGCTATGGAACACTTCAAACCGTTGTAATAATTTGTATGTTAAATCAAATGCGTAATTTTTCAGCCCATTGTATTTTGTATAATGTTACTTTAAGTAAATGCGTCTTTATTTACAGGTGTCAAGTCCGTACGCCACCGCCAGCGCTCCTGAACCGAGTAAGTACAGCAATGGGATTCCCATAGTAATATTTCACATTCCCATATAACTGGAACTTTGCTTTTTTTATGTCCTTAGGCTGGTTTTTAAGTCCATTGGTATTTTTTGTTTACAGCTAAGCTGGAAGAAAACCCTAACAATTCTCCATACAACCCAGAGTTCGTTGAATCCCAAAAGAATTGACACGAGGTTTTACTATAATAATACTACCTCGAATAGTGACGTAGACTAAGCTAAGCTACAACCTGGTTAAGTTAACTGCGCACCTCGGTTCGCCCCGTCCGTACCATTGTGTCGGTGTGACGTCACGGCCGTCAAGTGCGCAGTTAACGTGACCTGGTTGTATTATACGTAGATGTAAGCGATGACTGTATACGCCTTCATTTTATATTTAAACTATTTTTATTAGAAACCCTTGGGTTTGTTTTCAGGGGTAAAAATCAGCAGCTGAATAAACGCATTTTTGTTATTAAGGAAAACAAGGTATTTAACGCATAGGTTCAAAATTATGTGATCTCACATTCAAAATCAAAAGCCGAAATAATTATGTGGTGTAGACCTTGAAATCTCGTAATGTATGTGTTTAATTATATTATATAAGGCAATCATTTACAATATAACTATGTATAAAGAGATCAATGTTAAATAAGTGGTTAAAAGGCTATTTTAGAAACTGCTTTATAATTTTATAAAAATATATCTTTTTAGGATTCATTATTTTTACGGTTAAAAATTAAATGTGAGGAAAAGATTTATGGATATTTTAAAAAAGGTTATTTACAATACTTCAAACATAATCTTTCTATACAATAAAGATATTGATAACTGAAATACAATAATATAAAGTGCCTGATTTTGTCAATAAAATATTATATTCGCTTTTAAAAGTTCCCAGTTTAAGTGCTTTGGAAGTGCTGAAACCATTATTAATTATAAACATCACAATAATTACAATTAAACTAAGAGTATAATAATTTTACCAAGCGTCCAATATGCAATGTGCCATAGTGAAAAATATAAATTATAATCATACCTTACAAACAGTCAATGAGACTCTAAAATATTGTAATTTAGAAGAAAAAATACTATTTAGTGTTTTTGCATTTGAAATAGTCCTCATGATAAGTATGTTTAAATGAAAGTTTTAATTATGGAATGTTATTTTTTTATTACAGTGCTAATTACTATAGTGCATTATTTATAATATTATTATGGGAGTACAGTTTTATATGGATAAGTGTTGGTAAAATAGTCAACGTTTATTAATAAATCATTGATAGGTATGAATAATATTTACTTCGTGCTAATCTAATATGATACTCTTCGATATAATCTAAGTATGTATTTATCATTATAACTGTAAGTCAGTCTTCCAAGTCTCGCACAAAACAACGGCATTTTATGAATTAGTACTGCAAACATAATAATAATACGAGTAGGTGCTATTTAAAACAATAAAATATGTGACATCAAAATGTACGCCGATTTCTAAACATTTGCGGCTATACCACGAGGAATATACCCCTATACTATCGGCAACAGTGTTAACTACCCATTGCCGGTCATGTCGTCTCATTCTATCGCAAAGAATCACCATTCGATGAGAGCGAGAGCAAAAATGGAAACGGATAGTTAACACTGTGGCCGATAGTACAACGACTGCACATTAAGCTTACTAAACACTGGCATCTTATGCCGTCGTAATAAGAACTATTTTGTAGTAAAAAAGTATATTCTGATGTGCTGATGACGGTACCGGTACCTACACTTACTAAGATTGTCTTTTAAATATTTATCTTAGGTATAATTTTAGTAGAATAAGGTAGGTTGATATTATTTTTTGTTACTTCTATACCATATTAGGCTGTATTATGCGCTTCTTATAAGTATTTTCGGCCTAATACTTGGCATTTAAAATAATATAGTGTTTCGTTATATTAAATACTTACAAAATTTTTATATTCATGATATAATATTATAAATTATAAATAAACTATGTAATAATGTTGTGTATGCATATTTTTTTATTTTGAAGACATTTTATTGCTGTTTAATAAACATGATTTTACATTGAATGAAGTTTTATTGTGAAGTTTCAATGGACGGACTTAAAAAAAAACCAACTAATATTGTAAACTTTTTATTAAGTACAAAATAAAAATATTAATCAAGAGTCTTAGAAATAACACCCGCTACGTCAGCGTGACGTCATATCGTTCGATCCTGTTGTCTCTGTCTTAGAGAGGGAAGGCACGAGAAACCGGCCGCCCCGCGCACCGCGACACTTTGCTCGAGCGCTTGGCTGTGACGGACGTTCTCTCGGTTCAGGGACTGTGATATTTGTGACCTAGATCATTATTTCTGCCATAGGCATATTTCTTTATTACGTTCATTTGATTTGTGGAATTATTGATGTCGGTTATTTAATAAATCGATATCTGTTGGTGCCGTACATTACTTTTAAAAAAAGCACTCTCACCTCTGATCCTTAAGATCAGAAGTGGGNACACAGTTGAGTGATGCAGGGAAGAAGAACTCTACGTCTCTCAAAGCTTCTTTGGAGAAGTAAGAGAGTGTCGAAATTGAGCCACTGTAATTGCTTTTTTTCGTGGGACAGTTTTGAAAGGCTATTTAAAACACTTAAAATATGAAATATCACATTTCTTTCATATCATTTGGAAGTCTTATTTAATGTATTTTATGGCTATACTATTTTTAAGTTACTAGAATCCCCGAGAAAGAAGGAATAACACAATTTATGAGTAGAAATAGAGTTAGGACGCGCCACCGTTATTAGATTTTGGGTCTTTGAATTTTTTTTTAGTACATAAAATAACTACCTATTGTCCTGAAGACTTTGCTATCGTGTAAAACGCTGTATAAACTATATACAGAAAAAAAATCATCGCTCTAGTTACATTTCTCCCATCGATTCTCAGCTCCGCCGCGTAAAAAACGTGTTTGGGATATTCACCCTAACAAAGAAACTGTCGCCTAACGTTCTCCCTTATAATTTCAGGAGCAAATCTCATTGGATGTTTCGGGGGAGTGCTGACGCTGTTCACTTCGGGCGTCTGGGACTTCACCATCGCCAGGTTCATCGTTGGCTTGTGCATTGATTCCTGCGCTATAATGATCTACATTATAGGTAAAACATTTAACTAAAATAGTTTCATTAGTAGGTATGTTCAATGACATCTGAAGATCTGGGGATACGGGTCGAATCAATTGCACCTACTTTTTCGGCATGCCACACATTTTGACTTAGTTAAGGTCTCTAGAGTTATGGCATGTAATGTAACGTGAGTTTGTTAGAGCTTGAATCTACATGAAATGTTGTTGGTGGAATAAATCATTACTACTTTCCATCAGTAACATTGCTAATAAGATGCTTGATGACTGCAATTCTTTCTGCCTATACTCGTAGGTACTTAAAGCATGTAAGGCATGTAGTGTTCTGAGACGACGTTTACCTGCACTCAAGAATGCTTGAGTTTAGGTAAGCCTAGGCACAGACCACCGACTTTTAGTCGGCCGATAGTTGGGCCCGATTCTAATTTGTATGAAGAATCAATCGGTAATGTGCGCACTTTCATACATCTCCATACTGATTGGTGGTTGCGCCTAGGCTAACTCGTGATTTTAACACAGTTTCTCAAAAGCCTAGTGAATAGACAATCAGTTTTCTTAAATCTTCAATATGGTTTACTAATGATATACATTTGTTTTCCAGTAATTGAATACGTGGGTTCTCGCCATCGAACATGGATATCGAATATTTCGATTGCGGTCTACTGCGGGGGAGGAGCCTTATTGATGGTGGGGCTGGCACTCTGGCTCCTGGACTGGCGACACCTAGTCCTGGCCACTTCGCTCCCTATGCTGTTCGTGCTGGTCACACCTTTGTATCTACCGGAGAGCGCGAGGTAAATACGTAAGCAATTTTCGCTTATGATATTGTTGACCGCCTCCTATATTTTCCTGATTAATTTCGTTGCGGGTCCAATGACAGTTTAACTTTCTCCCGGGACAAACTTGACCTTCACTAGCTGGGTATTAGTGGCGGTCAAGTTGTAGATCCTGGCTACACAGGAGTTGCAGCGGTGGGAACGAGAGGTGGGAATAGTCCCGTTTTATGATGTTGTTGCTCCATGTCACACAAAGACTTAAATACTTTTCTTTCTAGTAAGACCGTATAGACTTTGTCCTAACTGGAGAACTTTGTTTTTAATTTTAGATGGTTGGCTTCTAAAGGAAAAGTCAACAAAGCAGTAAACATGTTGAAAAAGTTCGAAAAGGTTAACAGGAGGGGTATACCAGACGACCTTATGGCAGAATTCATCGTGAGTTACAAAAAAGTTTTTAAAATGTTTAGAATGGTTCGCTAAAGCGAAATTTAAAAAAAAACCTTTAGCTTGATTGATAAAGTACTTAGTCAATGAAATGCTATACGCCCGTATTCACAAATATTACTACGAGGTCTCACAGTGCGCGTGGACGCACAGGGCGACACACGAACCAATCACAGAGCTCTATTCAACGCTGTGGCGTTCGATTTACGATAGATTTAAGAACATGCTTATCCATTAAAGTATGATATTACCAAATCATTTCAAATCATTCGCAAACCAGGTAGTCGCAAGCCAAAAAAGCACAGTAGACGAGTCGCTGCGAGCAGTAGTAGCCAGCAAACCCCTTCGGAACAGCTTGCTCGTCCTCATAGCAGTCACGATGGTGGGCAACCTCGGCATCGACGCCATCCTCAGGATGTCCGAGAGCATCGGCACCAACTTCTTCCTCACCTTCACGCTGTCCTCGGCGTCGGAGATACCGGCGCTTGTGTTGGTCACGCTGGTTTTGGATAAGTAAGTAAAAACTACGTAAAGTCAGCACCAACCCCAGCTCTTGAGGGGTAGAATGTAAGGGCGCGGATCCAGCCATCAAAAAAGATTGTGGGCACCCGAAAGTCACCCAACTTTGGGGGATACCATCCATCCGCCTGTCGTTCTCAATAGACACTGAAAGTTTGGCGCTTGTGCTGGTCACGCTGGTTTTGGATGAGTAATATAGTTAGTTACTTTAACTTCTTGCCAGTCCTTGATGGCTGAAGGTTGCTTTAACGCCCCTTTGGTCAACATTTTCATATCACATTTAATATAGATTTCTACTGTCCTCTCATCTGGCCTTACTCCACAATCACATTAATTTAGATTATATCTCTCGTCTGGCTCCACCCAAGAGGCGACAGTGCTAGGAAGTTTAAGGAGTCTTCTCCCTGCATCATGAAATGCGAATGCTCAATTTACATTTTGTTCATTTTTTCAGATGGGGTCGCCGTAGTTTAATCTCTGGGACAATGGCAGTGGCGGGAATTCTGGCTCTCTTTACTGCATTCACTAGTAAAGGTAAAAAAAAAATGAACATCCAACAGAAATTACTGACCTAGACAAAACATGTACGATTCATTAAATCTGCACCCCCACCCTTTTACGCTTTAATTGTCCCTTAGTCGTCTCTATATTGACTAAACGGAAATATGGAGGTGCTCCTCTTTTAGGATCTAAAGCAATTAGTGCAGTGTGCTCTTCAAAAAATGGACATTTGGACAACAAGGGGCAATTCTTCTACTGTAAACAAGTGAACAAAAACTTGAATCCATTTTCATAGATCTAGTCTAGCCTAGTACAAAAGCCCTTTTCAGGGCACTTATATACATATTCCATTATTTCAGCACAAGGCATTTTCCAGGTGTGACGCAAATGGTGCTGGCGGTGGCGATGCGGTTTGCCGTCAACATGGCAATCGGCGCGCAGCTGCAGATGGTAGCCGAGCTCATTCCAACCGGCGCGCGCGCAAGTGGCAACGCGCTCGTGCATCTCACCGTCTACGTGGCAGCCATGTTCTCACCGTACGTCGTTTACTCGGTGAGATCTGTTTTTTGCGACCTTTCTAGATCTCCGGTCGGCCAATCTCTGTTAGCTATGTAAGTTGGTTCAGCCAATGCGTCACGATGCGGACAAAATCCTCCCCTAAGGATTTCCTTAATAACCTGTTGGGCTACACACATCCAGTGCTTTCCGCAATTTAACTAGATCGTCGAATTACATTACGTTTTTCGGTACGTGATCGCCCCTTGAGAATTTTTCTGCCCCGATCGCCATCTGACAGCGATCTGCCCTTCCAGTGGGTAGGCAAGTTGAAGTGGCCACTTTAAATTTGAAAAGCTAATGTGGCAATCACCCGTCACATCGTAGCTTAGAAGAAAGATAGCATCTCCCATAGAGCTTCCCGCAGTCCCGCTATAAGTAAGTTTAATTCGTCACCATTCTCTCGCTTAAACCTATCCGACATCCGGAGATCTTTGTCTTCTAACTCCCTTACTGTTATTGTAGCAACGTCTATGGATGCCGCTGCCGCTGCTGATCATCGGGCTCCTCTGCCTGGGCGCCGGCGCGCTGTCGCTGCTGCTGCCCGAGACCAAGGGCCAGCCCATGCCGCAGACCATCGCCGACGCTGAGAAGCTCATCAGGGACGGGATGCTGTGGCAGTGAGTACAACTAACTTAGTCACGTTGGAGACCATCGAATTGTGTTCTTTTAGCGCTCCTGCACACGACGCCGCTGCCGCGCCGTCGCCGCGCCTTTGCACTGTTTATACGTGCCGCTTGAACACCGCTGCCGCGCCGCCGCCGCGCCGCGGGCGAAATTATGCTTTAATGACGCGGTGGCGGCGTGGCGACGGTTTTACTCGGTGCGTATGAACAGTGCAAAGGCCCGGCGACGGCGCGGCGGCGGCGCGGTAGCGGCGTCGTGTGCAGGAGCGTTTAGAGAGATTATTGTCCAACGCTTTCGGTGTGGTACTGCCATACAAGTTGATCGCTCTACTATTGTGCCTACTTACTTCTAAAGGACGAAGCACACTTATCAACCCAGAAACGGATCGTAACCGTATCAACACGACGCGGTCAGTATTCTTTGTATGAACCTCCGTACTGCAATGCACACTTATCCGCACAATGTAAACGCCTCGTCTCGCGACGAAAGGCGATACGGTGTTGATCCCTTTCCGGGTTGATAAATGTGCTATAACCTTTATAGAGAAGTGTTGGTGGCCAATGGCTTCAGTGTCGGACTTCTACCTGGCCCCACATGATAGACCTAGAGTAGGTACTTACTTAATATTTAGATTTATCAATCCGCTGTAGATACCACCCTGTCCCTTCCCTATCTCTGTTAGATAAATATTTATTGTCAGCATTATGATTAATGAATTATTTAAGAAAAATCTGTGCTTTTTTTATAAATTAAATAAGCAATGTTTTTGTGTTTTGCAGGAAAAAAAAGCCAGATTTAGATCAAAATGAGAGACTCAATGAAGAATTCCGAAAAATGAGCATGAGTGTCACAAGTTTACATAGAATGTAATGTTAGTAACAAATTAAGTAAATTATTAAATTAATTATTTTTAGTATTTATAAATAATACCTACCTACTATGTGATATGTTAAGTTGTGATTTGAAAGTGCCTAAAACGATTAATAAAGTGATATTTTTAATGAAATGCTATATTTAATTGTATGTTTTAATTTATGCATTAGACATGAATAAGTTTTTTCGATAAGAGACAAGTGTGTTAAAAAAGTTGATAACCCTCTTTCTGGCGCAGTCGGGTAAAAATGAAACAACTTTAATAGGTAAGACAAAATTGTTTATCTACAGAAGACAATGCTATTGTACAGTTACCTATGACAAAATAATAATTTATTATTGTTCAGACTTTTAAGTTTTAACAATCAGCACCATAAATACGTAATTTCCTACACACAGTAGGTAAATAGTAAGGCATTTAAAATTAGGCAACACTTTCATAACATTGTATTATTTTTAATTGAATCAAATAAAAACAAAAGAGAATATCTTTTTCATTTTAATAACAAAATTGACTGATATTTTCCCTAATTTTTAATGAAAATGCCAATTAAAATTTAACTGTATTTACACTTTTTGCAAAAATTCCTAATCAAAGTACCTTACTTTACATACGAGATATTTACTGGAGCACACAATATTAAAATTATTTACACAGGCAGGCAAACTTAAACTTTTCATACTACGACATTCCAAGTTCTAAATAAGAGAAATATTGAATAAAATTACAGTAGTTAAATACCCAAGGAAAGAAAAATATTTGAGAAAACTAGTTCTAAAAAATAACAATAATTTTGCAAGAAGATGTGGTTCTTAGGCTGAGTTTCACCACCTAACTTTAACCGTAACGGTTATCGATAACGACAACGTTGCTTTTTGTATGGAGTTTGACAGTTTTTTACGTTTGTTGAAGTTAAAGTAAGATGGTGCAACCCAGTCTCAGTGTAGAGCATGCTCTGTGGTGTAGAGTGTAGTGTAATATTATTTTTCTATCACACTTTTGACATGCATTATCCACGTTGAATTGACACGATCCAGTGTAATTAAAGGGGTAATTATTTAACTATAATAGTAGTAACTAACTAGAAGCCTAGACTTATACTTAAACTAACTAATTTAGTTAAAGAATTGCACAATCTCTAGACTTAATGTAATTAAAGTAATAAAATAGACATTATATTGTAACTACAACGAAAATTAATAAGTATCGTAAAATAACTTTAGGTAGAAAATACCTAATTATTTGAATTAATTGAAAATATTTCCATCTTTTCTGTCAGTTATTAGCAAGTTTAATATCACAATAAGTTCCTGGTTTGAGCACAGGAATCTTACAACTACTTAACATACAGGCCATATAGTGGAAGTCGGCCGATTACGTAATAAGCGCTCGTTCTTTATCCTTCCTCCACTCTTCACTCTCATCAGGTTCAGGTTTCCTGAAACAGAAGAAAGTAAGTTACTTAGATGCCAAGTTTAGATCCTGGATTTAGCGTGTGACTTCCACCCACAAGGCAGACAGATGACCTCAAAAAGATTGCAGGAAGGCGCTGGATACAGACCACTACTAACTGGCCAATCTGGAAATCATTATGGTTTTTGGAAGGGGGATAGGGGCGATAAGGATTGTTAGAGACAGACCGAAATTTACGCCAGTGAAGCCGTGTGCATTTGCTAGTAAAAATATTTACGCCAGTCCTCACTCCCACAAGGACGAGGCGCTTGCCGTCTGCTATGGTCTGCGCTCGCTGCCAGTCTCATGCAGCCCAGCATCAACCATTTCCTACTTAATTCCTTGCGATTGCAAATGCCCAAGGTATTGGCGACCTAGGCTACAAAGAATAAGGCCGGTTCTCACCTGCACAAGGAATAGTCCTTCACCAGCCACTTTCCGACAGCGATGATCTGCGGCCGCGCGCCTTCCCCCCAAGGTATTTGCGACCATATGCTATAAAGAATAAGATGTTCTCACCCGCACAAGGAGTACTCTCTAACAAGCCGCTCTCCATCCGCGATGGTCTGCGGCATACTCCGGCCACGTGTCTCGGGCAGCAGCACACCCACGGCGCTCGCCACCAGCCCCACGGCGCCTAGGATCAGCAGCGGTAGCGGCCTCCACACGCGTTCCTGGAAACATAGCCATATTTATGTACGATCACAGTACGCTGCTTGTAAACATCCGTTTTTTTGACCGGACTACGGCCCGATTTTGACGTCTGATTTAACGGTGGTGTATCGTTTTAATGAACGTGTGCACATGCATCGGACATAAGTCCGGCGAGAAAATTGACAGCAAACAAAGAATATATTTTTTGACGGTCCGTCGTCCAGTGAAAAAAAGAATGTTGCAAGAAAGGATTTTTTCCTGGCGGCTTGGTGACTGGAATTGAACCGCCACCGGTGCAGACGGAGAAGATGGTGAATTGTCTGCACGTGAAAAGAGGTTGTCCGGCTTGCAGAAATTTATATAAGTTACCGTTCCTTGTGTGTAATTAGAAAAATGTAAATAAAACAGCTCCCTCTCAATTGACACAATTTATTTTTATCTCGTATGCTCGTATAAAGTTAACAATTACGATCTTATAATAACTACTGTAATAGTGCCAATCTCAAGGGATTCAGGGTCGTTAATTAGGTTCGGTTTGGTGAATATTATTGCCACTACAAATTTCTTAAAACTCAGCCTAAATATTAAAAGACTCTACTAGTTAAGATAACTGCGCGAAGTCAGGTCGGAAAGACTCCTACTTGAAGGATGGAAAAGTGGGTACCTTGGAAGCCATGCGGTTATAAGCCGTTACCCTGAACGTTCCTCTCTTCTTCCGGGGTCCAACGGGTCTCACACACTTTTAGGTTACAAGCAGCGTCCTCCACGGCCTCAAGCGCGCAGTGCCAGATGAAGCTCTTGTGTCCCCTCGACAGGAAAGCGTTCAAACTCTTGCAGAGACAGAGGTTTGATGACAAGGAGGAAATGCGAAGAGATCAGCAGTTTAGAAAGGAGAAATAATTTATACCAAATGATGAGAAATCAATATGAAATATTGAAATATCTAAAATGTCTATAAAAATAGTGTAAAATATGAAATCCCGCATCTGAAACGAAAAATACCAGCGTCAGCATCACATGAGGAACGTGGCATTAGGTTATGAAAAAAAACCGCAATGGGAAACAAAAATACTTACGAAAACTGTTCGCTAATTTAAGCTTCACTCGCAGTTTTCAGCAACCCACCCTCATCCGATTAGGATTTAGGGAATCTCTGAAAGAAACGATCACATAAAATACCACGTACTGGAATACGAAAAATATCAATCACGAAAAATAAATAAATTCTCCGACGGGAACTTACCTCATGTGTGAAAATGTAAATAAAACAGCTCCCTCTCAATTGACACAATTTATTTTTATCTCGTATGCTCGTATATAGTTAACAATTACGATATTATAATAACTACTGTAATAGTGCCAATCTCAAGGGATTCAGGGTCGTTAATTAGGTTCGGTTTTCTTAAAACTCAGCCTAAATATTAAAAGACTCTACTAGTTAAGATAACTGCGCGATGTCAGGTCGGAAAGACTCCTACTTGAAGGATGGAAAAGTGGGTACCTTGGAAGCCATGCGGTTATAAGCCGTTACCCTGAACGTTCCTCTCTTCTTCCGGGGTCCAACGGGTCTCGCACACTTTTAGGTTACAAGCAGCGTCCTCCACGGCCTCAAGCGCGCAGTGCCAGATGAAGCTCTTGCATCTCCTCGACAGGAAAGCGTTCAAACTCTTGCAGAGACAGAGGTTTGATGACAAGGAGGAAATGCGAAGAGATCAGCAGTTTAGAAAGGATAAATAATTTTTACCAAATGATGAGAAATCAATATGAAAATATTGAAATATCTAAAATGTCTATAAAAATAGTGTAAAATATGAAATCCCGCATCTGAAACGAAAAATACGAGTGTCAGCATCACATGTGGAACGTGGCATTAGGTTATGAAAAAACCCGCAATGGGAAACAAATAATACTTACGAAGAACTGCTCGCTAATTTGAAATTCACTCGCAGTCTTCAGCAACCCACCCTCATCCGAACAGGATTTAGGGAATTTCTGAAAGAAACGATCACATGAAATACCACGTACTGGAATACGAAAAATATCAATCACGAAAAATAAATAAATTCTCAGACGGGAACTTACCTCATGTGTGAATATTTTTAAATTATATTAATAAATTATCGTGGATGCATTCTGCATGACCCGATTTGAAATACAAGGAATATACATTCCCGAAAATAATCAAATTGCGGTTGCGCACGATCGACAAATTCCTAAGTGATTTGACAGCTCCACTGACAGGCGCTAGTCATAGACATCGCGATACGTTTCGTTTCGCCGCTTGAAAAAGTAAATACTGTACTAATAAAACCATGATGAAAACAATTTCCAGAACACTGAAAATATTCTATTTGAAAAATAGAATAATCAATATAAAAACACTGGGAAATGTTTCATCAAAATATATTTCAATTAACTGAGCAAAAAGCGCCATCTATTGCAAATTAGTTCTGAATCACGCCAATAGATGTCGCTAGTGGTATCCAAAATCAGAATATCGAGAAAGAAAATCAATTTGTGAAAAACAGCCAAAACTGCAACGCTACAATATTTTCTAATTATCTGTTTGACGGACAAATAATTGAAATTTTGTCATCTAGCCTATTGATCTCGACTAAATGTGATGAATTCAAAACTTTTAAACAAAGAAAACAAGCCATAGTGTGCTCATTTTATACCCTTTTGAGATGCTCTGTAATAGTTTATTACTTTACAAGTACTCCAACTTTTAATTGTTGCCAGTAGTGGTTACTTTTAGCTGTAATTTAAATTTGGGTTTCTTGTAAAGATATAAATTCCTTAGAGAAATTCTCAAAAAATTACAAATCCTTCTCCTGAGCATACTGGGGCTCTTCTCTTCATGCAAAATTTATCATAACCAAACGAAATCAATATGCGTCAGCAGAGAACCAGGAAAGCTGTCTTAATGTTTTGCTGTAATTGTATTTTTTTGTTCAAAATTTATGGTGATTAGTTTTGTTTAGAATTATTAGAAATATTATTTGTTTTGCCATAATTTTCCTGCAAAATTGTAAAAAAAANTCTATTGCAAATTAATTCTAAATCACGCCAATAGATGTCGCTAGTGGTATCAAAAATCAGAATATTGAGAAGAAATATTAATTTGTGAAAAAACAGCAAACGGCAACGTTACAATGTCTACAAACGGCCTAAGACGGGAGCAGCAATATCAAAATTGATTGGCGCCCCATGACGTTTATTTCATTTATACACGTTTGGGGGCCCTGCAGGGGGCCCCATATAATTGATATAGCTGATATAATGGTAGCCACGCCCCTTAATCACGGACTACATACAATAAGGTACAATCCACCGCCAGGGTCGAAAAGTTCACGAGTGGTGACAACGGACTAGAAGTCGTAGACGATCTGGTGAAAGTCGAGAGAAACAGCTGAATGCGGACAGCGCAGAACTCCTTAGAGGAGGGCTTTGTTCCGCAATGGACGTCTATTGGTTGAAACAATTGAACAAATCTCCGAATCTAATCTGCGGGAATTCAGCTATAAGTAGTTGTTGCAATTCACGAAGGCGAGTGAGCTTTACATGTGTGGTGGCTCGCTACTCTATGATTTTAAAAAGTTTTGATAGAAATGCATTTATGTGCATGTACACGTAGTATACACACAAGTAAAGCTCCCTCGCCTTCTTGAGTTGCAAGAACTTTATCCATTATTTGACTACCTTACATTCTTTAGTGTACGGGTCCAATACCATTAACTACCAGCTACTAAACTACCAGCAGGACAGCTCAGCAGAATACTCGTACCTACAACGTCCCTGAAAATATAACTTACTGAATAGACGATGAAAGGTGACACCACAGTGGCAACATAACCGCTGACGTGTATGAGCGACGTGCCCGACGCTCTGACTCCCGTCGGCAGCAGTTCAGCTGACCACTGTATGGCGGCGTTGTACGACATGTTAGTGCAGAACCGCGCCATGATCGCCAGGGTCACTTGGGGTATGCCTGGAACACATATCGAACTTTATAAAAATATTCTTTGCTGTACGAGTGTCTTTTGGAATATTTCCTTGTGTTGTATGTAGATGGCTTTCACTACCAAACTTCATGCCAAGCCGAAGTAGAACCTTAACTTTGAACTCCCCCCATGTTCTTCTGATGAATTTCGTTACGGGTCCAATGACAGTTTAATTTTCCCCCGGGACAAACTTGACCTTCACTGGTTGGTTTTTATTGGCGGTCAAGCTGTCGATCCTGCCTACACAGGAGTTGCAGCGGTAGGAACGAGAGGTGGGAATAATCCCGTACTAAAATTCATGATTCTAGCTAGGTCTTGCAAGCATAAAAAAATGGTGGACCTATCTTTTATTTCGTTAATGTAAGTAATAGATATATTGATTAAGTAGCATAATATAGCTTTTCTTTTAATCTTTAATTACACAACTGAAAAGAATGAATGTTACCTTTAGGGACAGCTGCAGCTATCAGAGTCAAGCTGCCTGCGATGAGCAGCGGTACACAAGTTAGCATTCTTCGGCCGTACCTGTAACAATACGTAAAATTGAGTTTACATGAGAATTCGTGCTCGGAGTCAACTTTTCACAGTAAAGAAGTATATTCTCCCACCTGTCAAGTATCAGCGCCAAAAGCGTGACCGAGGGTATCTCTGTAGCTGACGTCAGAGTGAACGTCACGAAGAAGTCCAGCCCCAAGCCTTCTGACATGCGCACGAGTCCGTCGAAGATGACTGCACAGCCCATGTATACCAGCACCATGTATAACATCATCATGCGGAGGGGCACGCTCTTGAATACCGCAGCTATGGACTCGTCGGTTTGCCGGGATTGCTTGGCGCGGGATTGGACCTGCAACACAACGGGGTTTTGAGTTGTTGCCACCATATTTTGAACTTTATTGAGAAGAGATAGGGTTCAAGTATCCATATAAATATGTTTATCTATGTTTACTCTTGAGTGTGCTAGAAGTGAAAAGTAGTCGATGCCTGATGGACCGTTATCACCGGTTCAATATTCTTTCATTGCTCAATATCAAGGTGTGCCGAAATATTACCAAAACTATTGAATAAGAATGAACCTCAATAGAAGAGAAGTGTATTTGTCTACTCACAATAAATTCATCTAAGACGTCTTGTGGGATTTTCGTGCCATTGACTCTTTCGAATTTCCTCAGAACATCTACCGCCTGGTTGATACGCCCCCGCGATGAAAGCCATCTGCGAACAAAATGACACATTATAATATAGGTCGAGTGACAGATCATACCAGCGACGCGACCTTCGAATCTGCTATCTGACACCGATAGAGACAATAGGTCGTAGTAGAGGAAAGTTAAAAATTCTAATTAAATTGTGACATTTCCTAGATAAGGGAAGAAGGACGAAGATATTTTGTCCAGCAGAGGCGCACCTATAGTTATTAAACCAATTAAGAACTGCACTATTAACCCAAAAATAATTTCTAAGACAACGAATGTAGAGCATACCTACTTACATAGACGTTTTTATTGTTTGTTCGGCCTAAAATTGCAAGGTTGACAATTAATGCTTCAGACCAACAGTAATAAAATAGGATGTGACTGCAGATTACAGTGAATTAAGAGTTTATCTCTCTGTCAATGATCCTCATGGTCACTATACTATAGATAGATGGTCGAAGATTTATGTATAGTATGGATTTGAACAGAGAAAATCCGTAACTGTAAAATAATCAGTTCACAATGATTTCGGTAAGATACATTGAAAAAGAATGATACAAAATCTTAGAATAGAGCAACTACCTACTTAATCACAATTAGGCAACACAACACATAGGTAAAATCGGTGAGTATGATCAATCAATTCAAAAGTTAGAGTAGGTACGGCTCTACATTGGGTTACGGCGGCAACCGTCGGGTTTTAGTGGGTAGAGCCCAGCCCTCCTGGCGGGGAGAGCCCCCCACATAGCCCCATGGCCGTCCCGGTGGATAGGTAGGCAGTTCCATTCAGTCCCGTCGCAAGAAAAGGAATAGTCCCCTACTTGGCAGGAACAACCAGGAGCGCTGCCAGCACCACCAGCATAGGTAGCGAAGTGCCCAGCAGGAGAGTTTTCCAGTCAGCAATATAGTAAGCTAACCACGGCAGGATCAGACAGCCTCCACCGAAGATGTATGGTGCGCCATACGTTTTGACCGCACTCCAGAGTTGTCGCGGACTATTAGGTGAATCAAGTCACGAGCTAAGATAGGGTTAACCTACCTTGCACTCTCAGGAACCACCAGCGGCGCTGCCAGCACCACCAGCATAGGTAACGAAGTGCCCAGCAGGAGAGTCCTCCAGTCGGCTATCCAGTATGCCAGCCACGGCAGGATCAGACAGCCTCCACCGAAGTACAGCGCGATCGACATGTTCGCCACCCACGTCCGGTGGCGAGGGCCTACGTACTCCATCACTGTAAGAATTGGGGAATTAGGGGCTTAATGTCGTTAGTAAACGTTAAAATATAGATGGAATTACGAGTATACGACTTAGTATGTACTGAAAGTAAAGGTGCGCGAAAGCTCGTCAAAATTGTCTCCATACTCTACTCTAACCCCCTTATTAATAAAAGTTACACCTAGGATGAACCTTGCATTAAAATGACATTTCCATACTAAACGTCAATTTAAGCCAGAGTTTAACTAGGGTGTAACTTCTAACTCGTATTATAGGGGTTTACATAAATTGGGTAGTTTAAAGTTTTAACCATAGAGTTCCATTTTCATTTGTTTCAATCAAATGACGTCTACTGCTGGACAAAGGTCTCATCCTCTCATCCAATGAATCCATCTAGAACAGAGTGAAGTTTTATTGTCTCGCTGTTTTCTGATTTTGACTGACTTACACAATAAGTAAGTAGGTATATTAATATAAAATCTATCCTTGCTCCTCATCTTGGACACGCTATTAAACTGCTAAATACTTCTTTATTGTCTTAGTGTATAAATCTAATTTTCAGTACTACTAATCTATCTACTATGTAAAGTGAGTAGGTATGTTTGTATCTGATTTATGTGTAATTCAATTACAGTCTGTTCACTGCTTATCAAATGATTGGACAGCATGTGTCTGATAATGCTAACAGCATTACACTTGTACTGTGTAATGTAATGATGTTATTAATGCCGCAATATCTGATTAGTTACTTAATCTAGCTAGCTAAATGAAAACATTAAAATAAGCATTCTTCTCTAAATCGATCGCTATCCTAATCTATTAGTACGTAGTACTTATTATTATTCTGTGCTATTAGGCTGATAGATATAAGTTATCAAAAGAAAAACCTTTGCTCTCAACTGTCTTTCAACGTTGGGTTTACCCACTGAAATATTGCATTAGTAAGGTACTTGACCTTAAAGTCTTAAAGATAATGTTTAGTGTCAAACTGATATTAGATTATGCTAGATAGATAGACATTATCTTTTTTCACATGAGCATACTTTATAGGTCATATGAAGTAGCTATTTCTTTTTTGGAAGATAGAACAGTGTAACTAACACTCGTGCAAAGCAAACTAAGTAAGAGGTTATAAGAATCAAGAGCCCCATACGTCCACTTACGGGTGGACCGACGACCTTATAAAGGTAGCAGGAAGCGGCGCTTGATGCAGGCTATGCGATGCTACCAACCGGGCGATGTGGAAATAAAGGCCTATGTTCAGCAATGGACGTCCTGTGGCTAAAGTGATGATGATGATAAAGAATCAAGTCTTACCCAAAATGTACATCATCATGAAGCAGCTATCATAGGCCATGCCGACCAGGAACCGGCAGAAGGCGAAGTCCCACAGCCCAGTGGTAAAGATGCTGGCGACTCCACCCACGCAGCCGATGAGGTTTGTACCTGGATACAATATTTTTATTGATATTCGAGAACTGCTTCAAATTCAGTTCAACCAAAAGCGTGATAGTCGCGTCGTCCAATGAGAACCTCCTTTTTAAGTCGGTTACATACTGTAGTGTAAGGTTAATACTTACGGGGACGTTTAAAAGTGCTTTTTAAAAGCCTATTTGCAAAAATAAATGAGTTTATGAGTTTTGCTAACACTTGCCTACAAAAAACGAACATGAGTTCACACTTAATCATACTTTAGTGAACATGTGTGATTTCCTTTTTATTCCCTTTAAAAAATTCCTTTTCATTCCCTTTAAAAAGGAAATAAAATGCAAGAAAAACATTTGGTGGAAATTTCCAATCCAGCTCCTAGTAATTGGTAGAAACATTCATTATAATAAAAGTCCGCCTCTGGATAGGTATAATACGAGTATTAGACACACTATTGTAGTTAATTAAGTAACAATGTTTTCTGTTGTAGGTATTTGCACATTTCATTTTCTTTATGTATGAGAGAACGCTATAAAGAAGGTTTAGTGCGTAGAAACCCTTCAAAAAGTCGTATGTGGCACCAGCCTAAGATCGACATTTATTGCGTGATACCTACCTGAGTACTTCTTGGCTGAGGCTCCTGCAGCTTTTGACCTTCATTAATTAAGGCTATATAAACATTAACTAGATAAAAATCGTTATTTACAAAGAGGCAGACGGACATTCAGAATCTATATTCAAATATTTACTTTGTAATAAAACGTTAAAGAAGTCGTTAAGTAAACATTGTGACGTAAAGTAAATAAGGTGGGAAGTTTGCTTAATCTTTACCTAAACCAAATAATTCAGAAAAGATATTATGTTATTAAATAAAGTTGAAACGGCATTTTGGGTCTTATAATGAGAAAGTGCTCTTATTTAAAAAAATTTGAAAGAACATTATATTAATTTCAGGATGATCACGGACTACAGAAGTGTCTGTCATTATCAAACAATATGACCACTAAGCAACATGATTGTTAGAAGATTAAAGGCTAAGATGACTGTGCAGCTAGTAAATCCATTGTTCCTTCGGATTAAACACAAATAGAGATGAAAAGATTTATCTCTGTATGTCAACATCAAAAGATTAGCATCTAGAGGACTTCGAAATGATGAAATGATATCGTTTTATTGAGATTAATAGTAAGATAAGTACAGGTGTGGTTTTTGAAGAAACTTAGTGAGCATAAAACTTGAACACTTGAAGTTCAGATACTTTATTATCAGTCTAATCGAACTAGGTCCTAACTAATTAAGTACTAGGACAAATTGAAAATCAAGTTTCACAGTCTTCAGGACTCCAGCTCGTGCTTAATCTACTCCAATGGAACTCTGACTATCTATGTGTACGGACGGTCTTACCAACCAAAGCGGGCACTCTGCCGAAGGTGTCTGCCAGCCAGCCGAAGAATAAGCCCCCGACGAAGGACCCCGCGAAGAAAATGGCTTGGGCCGTAGGAGCGAAGCCGGCGTTTTCGCACACCCAGCCGCGCTGCAACAAACAAATAAAAAAGTATGCACAAGATAACGTAGAGTTGTTGTTGTTCGTTTGTTTATTCAAACGGGCTCAGTGGCTCACGTTAGGTGACCGTGGGATTGAGTTGAGGAAAAGTTTCTGTTTTGGTTATCAAAATGCAAAGAAACGAGATTTTTATGAATCATTGGGATAACCACCAATCGAATAGACGTGTTTCATTTGCTTTCTTCCTTCTCACTCACAAGTTTTATCCTGTGTCTCATGAAAGGAGCACGCGAAAGTTGAATGTGAACTTCTGTTCAAAACTATTTAATTAGTATGCTGTACTCACGCTACTCACGCTATCTAAATCATCTTGAGACGTTGATGTAGGGAAAAGAGCTGTATGAAGACTTAAATTGAAGAGTAGGTACTTGGAACTTAACTTCACTCACCTCGCTAACAACAGTATGGTACGGAATGTCACCAAGCTCGAACTCCCAGCCGTTCTCGCAAGACACCGTGGAAGTGTTGGGGTGTGGAGCCGTCATAGTCTCCAGCACTTGACTCCAGTTGGCGTTGAACGTCAGGCATTTGTCCCACTCGTACTCAGCATGGGGTAGCGTTGAGAGGTTCCGTCTGGAAATAATCATCATCGTCATTTTCTCAAAGAGGCAAATGGAGGATTTGAACTGTACTCCCCATCCTGACGGGTTGGGAAGGCCTGATGTTCACATATGTATCTCTCCCTTAATCGCCTCTTTACGGCATCCAAGGAAAGATTGAGGGTGGCCCTATTCTACTCTATCGGAACCACACCGCTTTCCGCCTGGGATATTGGAAATCATCTAAACTTTTTACTACTATTTAGTTACTTTTCTAGCGTTGGATTTACTAACAAAGTCCGTCCGTTCGTCTGAGCGAAATGTGGTCAACAAAATACAGGTTCGGGCTATATTCAAATCGGTGACACACAACCATTACAATTAGCGTGTTGTTGTCTGGCACATAATTTTTGGTTAATGGTGACGCCATAAGGAAGGAAGCTTCAAGAAAATATGGTGCTACCATACGATTACTATTACTTAAATGCAAATGAGATTGTGACAATCGAGTATCGTTTCGAGTATTGACTCATCAAGATATTTCTTTCTCAATAAGTAAAGCTACCTAGGATCTTTGACTTAAAACCACTATGATAATCCATTCGGAGGTTAAGGAATATTAGTGGACTAATGCCCGTTTTCACCATCAATCCCTAATTTTTAAGTGATCCCTATGGTAACACATAATAGGCATTTTGTTTTCATAGGGGTCACTTAAAAAGGCACTCAGTAAAATAGAAGAATTTTGAACATTAGGATGAATAGGTCCGACAGAGGCTCTCACAACATGGAATCTTGGAGACTTTTCGACTAGCTAGCTTTTCTGTGAGATTCAGATATCCTAATATTATATGACAGTTGGGAGAAAACTTACCTGACCTCTGGCTCCAAGTGGCTCAGCTCCGGTACCTGACACCAGTGGCGCTGCGGCGTGGCCGTGACGAACATCTGCACGAAGTAGACGAAAGCAAAGAAGAAGCCGAAGGGCAGCATGGCCACGAACAGCCACTTCTGGTAGCGGCCCATCTCCCCCACGTACGAGAGGACCGTGTCCAGGATGTCCTCATCGTTGTTCTTTTCTGGCTTCTCCTCCTGGAAAAAAGTATTTGTTTTTTGGTTTGGTAGAGTCCTTTCGCTGTTTTTAATGACGACTGAACTGATGGTGCGTCCAGACTGGGCGAATGGGCTCGCGCGGTAAACTCAACATCCTGCTCACTCAAGAGCAGAGTGAGCAGGATGACAAGCGTGCCGCGCGAGCACATTCGCCCAGTGTGGACGCAACATGACATGCTTTGCTGGACAAAGGTTTTTGTTGAAAGATGACATTTAAGTAACGTAGATATTTGTTATTGATAATATTAAGGCTAGGTTACACCATTTTAACTTGACAAACGTCAAAAATCTGTCTAACTCCATTCAAAACACAACAGTTATCGTGATAGTTACGGTCAAAGTTAGGTGGTGCAATTCAGCCTAAGGCTGAGTACCGCGTAAGGCTTTTGTATGGAGTTTGAAAGATTTTTGACGTTTGTCAAAGTTAAACTAAGATGGTGCAACCCACCCTAAGTGAACTGAAATAAACAAAGGCTACAAAATACAACATCTTGTCGTCATTCAATAGGGTGAAGTAATTAAACTTTTTTAATTACTCGGTTAAAGCATCAAAATATAGAGTTCACAAGTCGAATGTAAACTGATATTTTCTGTAAATAATTAAACTGAATCCGTTCTTGATGAAGGATAATTACGAAATCCGCCCGAGAATCAATAGACAAGCAAATTCATAATAAATATTAATTAATGAACACTGCATTTTGTTATAATACTAGCAATTAGCTGTAAAAACGCAAACCTTGCATTATTTTATAAAATGCTTAATACTCAATAGTTTATTGCTTCCATAATGTTTACAAAAGTTGTTTGTTAATCATTTAATTGTTTCTTAGCAAGTTCAGGTTTTCAGTTATTCTGCGAATCTTTGAACCTAAGTCGTAATATCTAGCTGGTAGACAATAACATACGACATTAAGTTCGCCTTTTGTACTGCGTTCTATTTTTGTGTAATAAACTTTTAACTAAATCAATAAATAGTTCGGAGTTCACTCGGAAAATTTCCAACTGCTATTCATCACTGCAGCTCTATGACCTCCAATTAAACTCAATCAGAGAAGGTTGAGTAGCCCTGGGAGAAAGTTAAATTGAGTTGGAAAAGAACGCAGTTAATTAGAGAAATAAAGACAGACAAAAGGAGTTAGTATGACAACAACAACAAAATGAAGAGCCATAGATGTTTGAAACGGAGTGATCTGAAAAGGGCCTATTTTCAAATCAAATCAAATCAAGCAAGTTTTATTGTAAGTTTATGCAAGCTCCCAAAGAGCACTTTTCCATATCCATACTCCAACACTATTGTTAATATTGTGGGATAGGTATACCTACTAATAAGTATATTATTATATTTGAACACTAAATTATAATTTAAACACATAAATATTCATAAAGATCTAATGAAACTTCAGTAAACAAGTTGATTGACCGGCAAAAACAAACCTTTCCATTGTGTAGGCGATGTAGGTCGATGGGTGAACGAAAGATGATGAAAAGATGAAATGAAAGTCAGATTTGTTGTAGAAAAACCGAAAGGCGCGTCCGGGGGTGCGTACGTGCGTTCGCGGAAGTTATTGGATCACGACTGGCGGCTCTCGGCCCCGTGTGCGGCGCGGTGGGCCGCGAGTGGCTTCTGGCCATAAAAGGACAGAGGCCTCCGGCCAATCAGCGGGCCGCATCGCTAACGGCTAGCTCTAGCATGTTCTAGGCGCGACAATATTATTACCTACGCGCACCCGGAGTTGCGTATTATTTATTGATACCAAACCAAAACATGTAGGTAAACAACCGTAACATCCAAATGGGATGTTAAACATTTAGTTTTATTGGAATAGATAAATAATTGCACATACATGTAGCATTCTAAACACAAAATAATAATTAGCTTAAAATAGGTAAAATCAGATACACATTATAATCAAAAGTAAATATAGTAGGGAAGATATGTAAATCAGTTTAATTGCAAGTAAAAATAAGTATCTTACGTAAATCTATCGGCTACTATACCTACTACTGGTGGCCATCGTTAACAGTAGAAAAACCGAAAGGCGCGTCCGGGGGTGCGTACGTGCGTTCGCGGAAGTTGTTGGATCACGACTGGCGGCTCTCGGCCCCGTGTGCGGCGCGGTGGGCCGCGAGTGGCTTCTGGCCATAAAAGGACAGAGGCCTCCGGCCAATCAGCGGGCCGCATCGCTAACGGCTAGCTCTAGCATGTTCTAGGCGCGACAATATTATTACCTACGCGCACCCGGAGTTGCGTATTATTTATTGATACCAAACCAAACATAAACATGTAGGTAAACAACCGTAACATCCAAATGGGATGTTAAACATTTAGTTTTATTAGAATAGATAAATAATTGCACATACATGTAGCATTCTAAACACAAAATAATAATTAGCTTAAAATAGGTAAAATCAGATACACATTATAATCAAAAGTAAATATAGTAGGGAAGATATGTAAATCAGTTTAATTGCAAGTAAAAATAAGTATCTTACGTAAATCTATCGGCTACTATACCTACTACTGGTGGCCATCGTTAACAACTGTATTAACCCGGTGTTAAAGTACGAGAGCGTAACAAAATGGGAAAGATTTCAGTGAAGTGAAAGTTGGCGGGAACAACGGCCTCCTTCAGCGCAAGTACTCTTCTGCCGTTTCAGAACCATTTTCAGAACTAAGTTTACACTTTAACAGACTACGCTTTTGTGTTTCATCAGTTAACTAAAATATACTGCCATAATAATAATTTGGCTGTTTTTTGCATGTAGATAGGGTAAGTGCGCTAGTTTTCGTCCAATTAGCGGAGTTGCCAACTTTGTGATGCGAAATGAATATCTTAAAATACCCTTACTCATATGTATCATATGTCATTTTAGTCCTTATATAGTCTACTTTACGTTAATATTTTAAGACAATAAGTAAATACCACGGGTTTTTTTATAAAAAATATTTTATGCAAAAGAGGCGATTTCACTAGTTTTCGTCCAAAAAAATCAGTTTTCGTCCTAGTGTACGCTAGTTTTCGACCACTGTGTAGAAAAAAGGGTGCAGTTGAATTATTAACTTAAAACCAATTCTACAATACAGTAACTATGGATTGTGGTATATCATTTGAAAGGTAATTTTGTTAGCTTTCAAATGATATCAAAAAGATTTGAATAAGTTTCTTACCTAAATTTGGGAAAATATTGCAATAGGTCGAAGGACAATGGACGAAAACTAACCTACAGGAATAGCTAATTTTGGTTTTCGTCCACCCCAGTGCTTGCTCATGACGTCATGGACGAAAACACAACAACGTTTAAAGCTGTTTTTTGTTTTCGTCCACATCTTTTTAACGGTTTTTATGGGTTTATCACTGTTAAAAAGTGGACATAAACTAAAATGTTTAATGTAATAGCAATAAAGATCATATTGGAAGAAAAAACATTGTATTTTGTAGGTCCATTGAAGTAAAATGATTATTAAAAATATTAACTAGGTGTCAGGGTTTCCGTCCACGTGGACGAAAACCAAAATATTGCAAAATTGTTATGCTAGTATTAGTCCACTTAATTATCTAAGATTTCTATACAAAAACTTTAATAAACCCTTAAAATAGTGTTTATTATGCTAATAATTAGACATAAATGCCAAAAACATTACGTAAAGGAGCTAAAACAGTAATTAAACATACCATGAAAGTTCCCTACCGGCACGTTTTTTTTCTAACTTGACGACGTTTTCCATTCACCTGTGTGCAGCAGCAACTTCCGTAGATTTTTTTGGAGTTATTACTTGTCAAATTACATTTTCATGCAGGCAGAACTGTTACTTAGATATTATAGATTGTAACAAGTCCAAACTTGCACGGAAAGTTAGGTTTGTATTCTAATTTTCCGTATTAGTTTGTGGCAAGTCGGTCAAATGGACGAAAACAGGAGCTGGACGGAAAACCGGCGCAATTACCCTACTAAGAATAATTCGAATTAAATCTGAAACAAAATAATTAAATAAATACTGCGGCGAACACTTGAATGAAACCAATGGCAAAGACTCATCAGATCAGTCTTGTTGCCAGAAATGACTCGCTGTAGAGGCATAATGTACAGTCGCGGAATGAAAAGGTTCGTCACCTTAGTGTCGGTTTTCGCTTGCACTAGGTGCTGTAAGAGTCAAACCTGCCAACATAACAGTGCATGAAACAATGCTGCTAACATTTAAATAAATATGACGTTTGCTAACGAACAAGGTTTTGCTTGTTTAATTTTGTATCCCATCAGCCCCCCTAGACAAAACTCACTTTTTGATCGAATCGAAAATCGAATCCGTCAAAACTCCATACAAAAAAGGGGCTTTTCGACCACTTTTCGACTGGTTTGCGATTATAATTTGCACTTTGTCTAGACCCACAGTGCAATGCAATGATGACATTGACCAATTGACAATAGTTTTTTTTATTTAATAGAAATAATAATGGCAGCTTGAACCAACAAGAAGGTTTTAGTTTATCAATCATAATAATCTTGACAAGATAAATCGTCAAACAACTTTGATCTGAATAATTTTGAACTTTACTGACGAACAGTTAAAGATTATTTTCTCTAACTCGAGATTATTCTGTAACATAGTTTCAAAAGGTAATATGTGCTCGCGATTCGTTGAAGGAATCAATTTGAAAACTGACGAACCTTTTCATTCCGTGACTGTACAAAGAAGCAATACTTACTCGTAAAAATAAATTTCAGTGATCTCCATTGAACTAAATATCATCAATTAGGTCAGCGGAAAAAGCAGTCGTGCGTTCGACAAAGTGAGTTGGAAGCTTCGGACAAAATGAATTTATCCACCTAATTGAAATATTAGTCTCACATGTAACGAATAGGGACTGCTTTCGTTACATTTTTTGCGTTTCTTATTGGATAGACAACTTTAAAAAGTTGTGATTACCGTACTACAATAGGAGCGCGCTTATTTAGAACTTGAATTTAGTTTGAGATGCGACTCTTAATGCTTGAAAATTTTAATAACTACGAGTTCCTACATAATCAAATCATCACAGAAAGAACAACAAAAACTTCCCTGAAAGAAAGGAGACAGAAGAAACGGAGTTACTAGATACCCGTCGACGTAAACATTAAAGTAAAAACACCAGACCCGTGGCCGTTGTTTCCCGTCCACTTCTGGCGCAATTTACGGTGTTGTCAGATTACGGATATTAAAAATATTTATTGCGGAGTCTTCGTTGCAAAATGGCGGATTAATTTTCCAGGAAACAGTTAATTCCACGAAAGTTTACGAAGGATGCTAGAATATGGAATACTTTAGCAGGATACAACGTTTTGTGGACGATTTATGAGCCGAAAAATTACTTTTTTTGGAACTTCGTCCGTGTAAGTAATAACCTAATTTTTTATTTCAGTTTCGTAGCTTAGAGCCATCCATCATTTCGTATACCTATTATCAGATTTGGACGGTTGCGAACTGATTTATTCCTCTTTTCGTGGCTTCTGATAAGCAGGTCCTGTAGGAACAGGCTCATTATCAGACAACATCATCTTCAGTGCAGTAAGTACGAGTACCTTTATTATGATTACCATTTTGTACCACATTTACCGCAATAAAGTAATAAAGAAAGAAAAGAAAGAAATAAATTCTTTAACTTTCATACAATGAATATGGTATAAGAACAGACGATAACTGTACACCTTAAAAGTTTTGACGTAATTGAGCTGTCTCCTATGAGAACAGTCCACCAGAGCTTTGCTTGCAGATGTCATAAAAGCCTGAAATCTCATCCAATAAATCCAAAAAGGTACCTACTTACGACCATTTTCAATGAAAAATAATCATAATCACATTGTACATTTTGAACCCGAAAGTTATTAATAATGTCTCTTTATTCAACAACGTGGATGTTATAAATCATGAATGAACAAAGACAAATGTNGACTGTACAAAGAAGCAATACTTACTCGTAAAAATAAATTTCAGTGATCTCCATTGAACTAAATATCATCAATTAGGTCAGCGGAAAAAGCAGTCGTGCGTTCGACAAAGTGAGTTGGAAGCTTCGGACAAAATGAATTTATCCACCTAATTGAAATATTAGTCTCACATGTAACGAATAGGGACTGCTTTCGTTACATTTTTTGCGTTTCTTATTGGATAGACAACTTTAAAAAGTTGTGATTACCGTACTACAATAGGAGCGCGCTTATTTAGAACTTGAATTTAGTTTGAGATGCGACTCTTAATGCTTGAAAATTTTAATAACTACGAGTTCCTACATAATCAAATCATCACAGAAAGAACAACAAAAACTTCCCTGAAAGAAAGGAGACAGAAGAAACGGAGTTACTAGATACCCGTCGACGTAAACATTAAAGTAAAAACACCAGACCCGTGGCCGTTGTTTCCCGTCCACTTCTGGCGCAATTTACGGTGTTGTCAGATTACGGATATTAAAAATATTTATTGCGGAGTCTTCGTT